CACAAGAAAAAAAATATATACATACATATAATAAACATATATCATTTGTTTTAATTATGCAATTTGTAATAGAAAATGAATCACGAGAAAATAGGAAATGAGTCAACATAAAAAGGTATTTTAATAATCGGCACATTTTATTCCTTTCGTACGCAATATCTTCTGTAAATTTCACATATTTTTTATAGCCTGCAAATTAATTTTATTACAATAGTGTTCTTTTATATATACTTTTTTATTCACGTGATTATAGTAACCTACAAAAAAATATATGTTTGATTAATTAATTAATTAATGGAAATTGTGATAATTGTGACGAGTAGTTTGTATAACTACGAATATTTCCCATTGCATGCATATATATATATATACATATATATGTGCTCCAATTCAATTAATTGATTAATCAATATATGTTTGATTAATTAATTAATTATTGGAACTGTGATAAATGTGATGTAATGATAATTGTGACGAGTAGTTTGTATAACTACGAATATTTCCCATTGCATGCATATATATATATATACATATATATGTGCTCTAATTCAATTAATTGATTAATCAATATATGTTTGATTAATTAATTAATTATTGAAACTGTGATAAAAGCGATGAAATGATAATTGTGACGAGTAGTTTGTATAACTACGAATATTTCCCATTGCATATATATATATATATATATATATATATATATATATACATATATATATGTGCAACATATAAATACATATGTGATCCAATTCGATTAATTGATTAATCAATAATAAAAGAGAAAAAGGGAGAAAAACAAAGAAAAAGAATTGAACAAAAAAAATTAAATAATATAATTATATATTATATATTAAATAAATATATTAGCATACTAACACACTAATATATAATACTAACATATAATATTACACGTATTACAATATAAATGTTTCAATTTTGCTTAAAATATAAAAAAAGGTAAAAAAAATTTTAAAATTAGAAAATATTAAAAAAAGTTAAAAAGATATAAAAAATAGAATTTAAAAAAATTAAAAGTTTAAAAAAAGGTTATATATATGAACGTGTAAAATACATAAATATAGCTATAATTTAGTTATAATATAGCTATATTAATAAATATAACAAATATAATATAATAAATATATATAGTTTTATACAACATTAAAATTTAAATCTTCTGTAAAGATTTTTTTTCAAAAATTATAAATAGATTATAAAAAATATTTGTGAAAAAACAAGATCGAAAACAAATCTTTTTAACAATAATTAAATAATTATTAATATGCATATTTAATAAATAATGTATTCATAATATGTATTTTTCGAATCAAAGCAAAAATCATGTAACTTTTCACGTTTCCACTTATTGGAAAAAGAACATGATTGTTGTTTTGTTTTCATGCTTTCTTATATGAAATTAGATAAAAATTGCCTTTTTCCATTGAAAAAGGCATTTGAATGTGTATAAACTGTATCTCTTATTAATTAATGTAAAGCATATAACATAATTTTAGGTAGTTTAGGTGCATTTTATGATCTAATTTCTTATTTATTTTCAATTCATCCAGATATTTATCCTGTCTTAGACTGTTCCATTAATCTGCCGTTCTTATATTTAAGATCATCTTATTTGATAGATGGCTACTCTATTTATAGGGTATGGGGTATATAGGGTTTTTATCCTAGGGGAGGTTAGGGGGTATATAAGGTTTTTATCCTATAAGGAATACGCTTTATTCTATTTAAGACGGTCTTGAAATTAGAACGAAGAAATAAAAAATAATGAATACTGGCATTAATCTTGATCATTATTATGATTTTATATATATATATATATATATATATATATATATATATATATGTATCCTTTAATTTCCTTGATTAACATTTTTATGAATGTTGGCTGCATTTATTTGTAAACACATTTTATCAGCCACAAAAATACAGACAACTAATTTTACCAGCTTTTAACTTGGTAGTTTCGATTACGACTATCAATATATAGGTTCGTTTCATTTTTATATATAAAATATATTGATTATTCTCTTTCAACTTGTATGATCGATTTATAAACAATGTATACATGTATATATAAACGATATAAATGATAGAAATCTAATTTTCTTTAAATTCCAATCTAAAAAATGCTTTTTATTTATAGATGACTTATAAACTGTCATACAAACGAGTTATATCAGAATGACTCATAAACCACTCATATCAGAATAACTTATATGCGGCTCTTTTCATTTTAAACCGTACAATACAAAGGTGAGTTTTTCATTTTCTGTTCAACTTTCGTATATTAAACGCTTAATAATTTCTAAATAAAATACTTTTTCACTGAGTCGAAAACATCAAGTGATACGTAAAAAAAATAAAGAGAAAAAGTTTTAATTATCTTATTATATAAGAAATTCTTGAAGAAAGTGTGAAATGTTATAAAAATATTGAAAGATGTTACAAAGAGGAAATGATGTACGCTTTTACTCTGTATTTCGGTTGAAGAATGTTTTTAACAACGGATACATCGTTAGAAAATAAAGAAAATAATGTTGAAATAAGTGTAGCGAAAAAATCCTACTTTATATTAAATAATATTAATTCAGACGAGCAAGATGTATATTTGAATTTATATGTATATTTATTTCAAAAATAATTGTCTCTTAATCGTGGAATCATGTACAAATTTTAAAGTCATTTTAGATCATTAGCTTCAAAGTATAAAAAGTTTTTACAGTTTTGCGTTCATAATAATGACGTAAACTATACGTTATTCTTATAATATTTTACGTTTACCAGGTTTTTGCATAAAGTTTATGCTAAGAGTCGCACAATCAGTTGTTTACGTTATCGTACATGTTATTTTTAATGGCTGGAAAATATATTAAATAATATATTAATACAATATCTATATAAATTGTCTATGAATATGTATTTCTAGAAAATACGTGTGTGTGTGTGTGTGTGTGTGTGCGTGCGCGCGCGCGCGCGCGCGCGTGTGTGTGTGTGTGAGTGAGTGTGTGCGCGCGCGCGTAGTTCTTATTATGTGAATCTCATTTGTAGTAGATAATTTAATTATCATTGATTATAATTGCATTAGTATTAATTGCAATCGTGAATCATGAAACATTAATTCTATCATTGCATTACGCGATTATTCTTATATTTGTTTATTTTAATTATGTTACCAAACACAATCAAAGAGAAAAATACGATATATCGAATTTTATATTTTAAAATTAATATTCAATTTAAAAAAGAAAATAGATCTTCAGTTTCATAAATATATTCTCGATTTAATGCATCTATCTTTTGTATGAAGGAAAATTTCCATAAATATGTTTACAGTAAATAATAAATTTTTTTCAATTCCCGAAATGATTGTGAAACGACTTGGACTTTACGTCATTTGAGCGCACACAGAAACAGACATTCCGTAAAATCTCTTATCACAAGGAATACTGAAGGTAGGGGAAATGTTGATTATACAGCTGCTGCCTTCAATTATATATCATTGATTATAGTCTGATGTGTTGTGTCTTGTCTGATCTCGGATATCATGCATTTGAAGTGTTATACAACAATTTATTTGGATATAAAAACACGAAGATAATTTCGTAGTGCGTTAATTGTGCGTTATATAATTAAATGTTTCCCTTATCTTATGTTCTACCTGCAACCATTGTCTTCTTGAAATAATTTACATACGTCGATGTATTCTGTGCGATAATTGTAGTTAGTATATACTAATTCTAATCACTATATTGTCTAACTTGATATTTAATCACTATATTGTCTATCTTGATATCGTAAACATTTGATGAGGAAAATGAGTTTTTTTTTGAAAAAGTTTTTTTGAAATTAATATATTCTTGTTTATCATTTCTCTCTTATTTATGTACCGTTTATTAATTTTAAGAATGTTTTATCTCAAGAATGTTTTATCAAGAATGTTTTCTGTTTTAATGAACAAATTCTGAGAACATATAGAAATATTTATAATTAAGAAAATTTTTCCTCAGATATTTTTATATTTCTTTAGAATTTATCCATAAAATCTGCAATATTTTGTATTTATTGTATAATTATATTTTTACAGTTAAAGTAATTTAATTCCAAATAGATAAGATATTAAAAATAATCTTTTTATATAGAGATAATATTTTTGTAATAAAAGATATTATAGATATATGTTTTTATATCATGATAATATCTTTGTAGTAAAAGATAGATATATGTTTTTTCAAAAGAAGTGTAATTAAAAGTCGTAATGTTTTTACAAGTTATTAAATTTTATCATTAAATATATTATCATTAAATATCAATTTTACATATTTAAGTGTTTGAAAAAAATCTGATGCTCTAGAAATAATTTTAATTTAAAATTTGGTTTCATAGAATTATCTTTTTAATATTTAATTTCTCAACAATAATTTTCAGAACATTTTATAATTCTTTTCAAAGGCTAATAGATAAGTAAAAGATACCGCTTTTCTTCAAATATTTCTGTACTTTTATTACTTTGCATTATAGGAAACAATAATGAAAAATCAAGCGATTAATTCTAAATGTCGTTAATGGATTTTAAATTAACATATTTATAACACTAGAATTTGAAATAATTTTATAGAATGTTTATTTAATTATTTTCTGTTTATTTAACAAAATTAATAATAATCTAAATTAAAAGTCGTGAAGTTTTACAAAAGAAAATATGCTTGCCTCAGTATGTATTGTTATTTTAACTATAATACGTTGCGAGTTTATTAGTACGTGACTTATTTATGTATGTGTCTAGCTCGGACTTAGTATATAAACGACATGAGCATGGCTCACGCGATTGAGCTAGCACTGCTGCGTATTGCCTAAGACGTTAACTATTTACCTCTCTAATTTTTTAATCAATAAGATATTTTGTCGATTTGTGATTTATATGTATTTAATATGCGATATGAGTCTAATACATTGTTTGTTCACTGAGATCGCCGAATCTGTTCTAGAACACATCGGACAACTTTGGTACTTTGTCAGCCCTCAGGAAACAACCTTCGAGTTCCCACAAGAGGTACCAGACTATCAACAACAGGTAATGTTGTTTATAGATAAGTAAAAATTAAGAAAATCTTTATTCTCGCACATTTTCTTTTTATTAAGTTAAATTACATTTGTGTTATTCCATGTTGCAAAATGTCATAATTTACATAACATTAATGCGTATGACACTTGAATTAATCAATCATTTGACTGAAGAACGCAGAAAAGATAATTTTATTCCGATAAAAATATAAATTTTATCAATAAGATACTGCTTGATGTTAAAAACGTGTGGAAAATATTAGTTATAAATTAGACATATGCTATATTCTAATTTCATTTTTATTATTAAAATTGTAGTTACAGAATAATTAAAAACATATGCATAATTTGAAATAATATATAAAAACTCGGTATTAATTATATATTATTTTATATCATCATGTAAAAATAATAATAAAGAGTACATAGAGTAGTCTAGTATTTATTTGCATGCGACATGTGATATTGATGTTTGTTTATTCAATTATTTTCTGTTTATTATTTTATTTAATAAAATTAATAATATTCTAAATAGACACAAAATATGCTTGCCTCACAGTATGTGTTGTTTCAATTTCAACTGATTTCATTTTTTTACTAGCATTGGACTCGAATCTGCGAGATTTTTTTTCAAAATTTATTTGATGCAATTTATACGAAAGTAGCATGAACCAAATGCATGAGGAAGTAAATGTAAATGCGCAGCTGGCTTATTACGAACGCGACGAGTTGCTCGAATCGTTAGCATACGCGCTATTTTTGTCCAGACCTCCTTCAAGAGTAGCGCTGATGCATAAAATGATGTGTAAAATTTGATTTTCTGTAAGAATTTTTTATATGTAGATATGGGTGCCATTTTTTCTTTTGCTGGTTCTGGAACAAATAATATTGCGAAAAAAAAAGTTTCGTTTGAATGATCAAATTACATCGCTATCTCACTGGATGCTTTACGAAACTATTCGGTAAACATTTTTTCTTTATTATATGAATAATAAAAACATATAAAAATTATTAATTGTAAAAATATATATTAAAAAATTATAATATATAAATATTAATTATAAGGATATATAAAGATTATATTTTAATTATATATCTATATATTTTAATTATATGATATATCTCTTTATTATAAAAAGAAAATTCATTCGAGATAAATAATTTTTTAATATTATATTAAATACTTCTTTCCTAATTGTCTTTTAAATTGACTTCCATTAATTATTGTTATTGACAGCTGACAAATATAATTATCTATTTTTTATTATATATTTTATGTCTATTTTATATTGTGCTTTCATTATAAAAAAATTCTTAAGTAATTATATTATTATTTTATAAATGACATAAGCATAATTTTGTCCGTTTTATATATCAAGAAGAAAATGATTCTAAGTTTTATAATATAATAAGCATAAAAAAGTAAACTGTAAAAGAGACAATAGATAAAAATGATAGAATTTAACACAAATATAATATAAAGCTTCGTTTGATAAATTTCAAAAAATTGTATTTATTTGCTTTATAGAATCTTTTCCCGTGGTGCCGAGTATTATGCATACATCGCCATTTATGAGAGATTTGGCAAAGAATGGAATCTGCTAGCTTGGGACTCATTACGGACATGGTATATTTCCTTCATTGCCGTGGACTTTTGTTACTATTGGGCTCATCGCAGTAATCATGGTTAAATTTCTAGCATTCGCCATCGTTGACATCTCTATATTATTTTTCTTTTTCAATAATTTAATGTGATAACGCGTTGATAATTTTTACAGAAGTCCACTTTTTGTGGGCCTGTCATCAGGTGCATCACAGCAGTGAGGAGTTCAATCTCGCGGTTGGTCTGCGACAATCCATCCTACAACACTGGTGTAACTTCGTTAGTGTTACTTTAAAAATTCTTTTTATCGACAACACAAATTTCAACTATAAAAAGAAATGAAATATTAATAAGAAATACTAATCAACATCTATTAAAAATAAGAATTAAGAAGAGATTAAAAGAAAATTGGAAAGAATTTTTTATTACTATAGGAGAGTTTGTTTGTTTATTTTTTTAAATATAAGTTTTATTTATTTCTTTAAGCTTAGAAAATGTTTTAAAATTAGAAAATATGAACTACATCTCTTATATGGTTATGTTTTAATTAAAATTTTCTTTGCAGGTGCTCTATTTGCCTCTCGCCTTCTTTATATCTCCGTCGCACTTTATGGTCCACAACCAATTCAACTTGATATATCAATTGTGGATTCATACAACACTCATTGGTGACCTCGGATCGCTCGAGTTGATTATTAATACGCCTAAGCATCATCGCGTTCATCACGGTAAATTAGACACTTAACTACTTAGCTAAATTAGTTAGTAGTTTTTCGCATAATTTATCTTAACGAACACATTTTTTACAACTGTAGGCTGCAATCTTTATTGCTTGGATAAGAATTATGGTGGCGTGCTTATAATATGGGATCGATTATTTGGTACGTTCCAAGAGGAAAAACATAAAGAAGAGATAATTTATGGCTTGGTGGTTAATGTTGAATCATTTAACTCATTTTATCTGCAGGTAGAAATTTTCGGCAATGAGCTTTTACATAATTGATGTACCCCTGGTAAACAATATTTGAAAGAAAATTAGTTTTTTTTACATATACAATACAAAGTGTGTAACAAGATTTAAAATTTTTATGCATGAATATTTACTAAGATTATTAATAAGTAAAATTTATTAATATGTAGAAAAATTGAAAAGTGAAATTAATTTTTGAAGGAGAAAATAATAAATATAAATTTATGTATAATAAATATATACTTATTATCTTATAATATAGATATTGTTACTATTCGTATAATTACTTTTTGACTTGTAATATCGTAGGTGTTCTATTTAGCGAATTTAATTAAAAAAAGTATAAGTATGGTTTCCTGGGTTGATAAACTGGCCGTCTTTTGGAAGGGTCCTAGCTGGTTTCCAGGATTACCACGTTTAGGTTTAGACGAGTTTAAAATAAAAGTAAGAAATAAAATTATATCGTATGTTATATACAAGCAATGCTTGATCAACTTTAAATCAACAAAAAAATTTTAATATTTATATAATTTTAATATTTATTATAATATTATTTTATTTATATTACTTTGATATTTATTATAATAAACTTTATACTATTTTTAATATTCTACTTTCTTATCTTTTTTAGGTGGAACCCAGAGCCGTGTACGATCCTCAGATATCATTATGGCAGAAATTATATATAACAGTGCAATTTTTAATAATCTTTTTAAATCATTTTCAACTATATAATGAGGTAAGTTCTGATTTCGTTTCAACAAAACAAAAAGTTTGCAAGTAATACTTTTATCAAAATAAATTTTGGACTCCATTATTAATTAATAATATTGAAAGATTTTACTTTGAAGTAGATTAATTTAAACGAATTATGTGTCAAATTTATAATAAATAATAAAATAAATATAATATAATATATATAATATATATATATATATATATATATATAATTTTATTGTTTAAAAAATTGTTAGATATAATAAAAAAATTTTTTAATTCGAAAAAAATTATTGGAGAACTTCTCCACTTTATATTATTATTTTTAATTGTCTGTACTCATAATAATGACATCATTGCATAATATATTTACAATTAATTTAAATATTAATAAGCTTAACACATGTTCGCATTAAAATTCATAGAATCGTACAGGAATATATAAGCTATTTATGTTGTCATAGAAACTATTCTTAGCGAAAAGCATTAGTCTCTTTGTGGCTATGGATCTTGTATAATTTTCTTTGTAACTCAAAAATTATTTTTTAAAGAATATGATAAGCAAAAATAAATTTGAATGCATGAATACGTAATACATATATAATATATAATTTTTTATAAAAAAAATATATATTTAAAAACCGTATAAATAATTATTTCTTCTTGTATCTTGGTTTATCGAGTAGATTAGCTGTTTTGTCATTGAAAGATAATTTGAATAGCAATATTATTTTGATTTATTATTTGATTATTGATACTGATTATTGATATAATACTGATCGGAAATCGGACACACTATCAAAAAGTCATTGTCCCTGATTTCAATTTTATTTTCAGAATTTAGATGATGTTTGGATAAAATATACATTGATAAACAACATAATCGCTCTCATCAGCATCGGTTTGTTATTTGACAAGCATGCGTTTATATATCCCAGTATTATTGAACTTGTACGCTGCGTGACTTATGTGTACTGCACGCACGAGATGAATTCAAATAATTTAATCAACTATTTGACGTATTACGCATACGCATTTCATCTGATTTTTGTTTGGATACCTTATTTTATATATAAAATCTTATTTTATATAATATAAAATAAAATTTTATATAATATAAAATCTTATTTTATATATAATTTTATAAATAATATTTTATATATAAAATTTATGCATTTGTATATACTTTTATTTATGGGTGCACATATGTTATTGAAAATTGATTATAATTGATATAATTTGATATAAATTGATATAAATTGATTAATTGAAAGAAGATTAAAAATTTGTGTATAATAATAATATTTATATAATATTATTTTTACATAATATTATATAATATTATTAATTTTATATGCAACATTGTTAATATTCTCGATAGTAAACGTTTGCTTTTCCCACTTTTTCAATCATGTAAATGGGCAAATGAATCGATTTCGCTTTAGGAAAATAAATATTCACGTATAAATTTCAGATAATGCACAGATGTATATTTTCATCGTTATAAGGAAACAATCTTTTTTCAAATGACATTATTAACTCGTAATAATATACATTACATGTGTAAACATAATTGATAACATTGTAATTCTGCATTTATATGTATATTAAAAAAAACAAATGTAATAACTTATAAAACAATTATTGAGTCGTTTAAATAGAAATGTATATATATCTTTTGCTGCTTTCCGTAATGTTACATGTGTCCTAAATATTATATTCGCATATAAAATTTTCTATTTAGATATAATATATGTATCTGTTCTCCTTTATGTAAACATGCGCTACAGCTAGCATTATTATTGTATTTTTGAATTTCGCAAATGTCGTTTGAAATCATTACAAAGAGAGTACATGAAATATATTATAAAATTTTACGAAAAAGCGCATCCCCACAAAGACATCTCGTAATCAAAATACGTTATAAAACACGTTATACAATAGTACAGTGTGGTACGCGTTATAATGTAGAACATGTAAGTAGCACTTGAAAATATACGTTCAATAAATGCAACTCAATTCATCTGCGATAAAGTTTTCGAAAATAGTTAAGCAAGAGATAGTTCGCATTTTCTTATAAATAGCAAAAATTCTTACAACAAACGTCCGTTCAAATTTAATAATGAAAAACAAGCAAGCCGATCCACTCCGCTTTCTTATCCCGCGCGCGCAACAATATTATATCTTGAAGATAGTAACTATCTTTTTTTTTTTAATTTAAGCATAATATAAATTGTTTTTTAGAAGACATCGCGTAAAACAAAGACAAATGCAATGGTATTCTTGTATATCCACAATGCACAAGTTCTTTAGTACATTATACAATATTTAATATCATGTTTTACATGTAAAGCTTTTCGAGTTATTCGATAATATATTCATGAAGTCGTGGTAAAAGTCCTTCTTGATGGTCCACTATCTGTAAAAGACGAAATGAAACAATTGATTTATTAATAACAGCTATCTAGAATAGACAGTTTCATAATTCGTTGGTTTTATTACAGTTCACATTTTATTATCATGATCAAAATTTATTATCATGAATCATTTCAAAGATGGAATTATTATAAAATATAATAATTAAAATATCGCAAATAATTATATTTTTTTATTGTATTCTATTTATCTTTCATATTTTTTATGATATTTATTTTTTGTAGCATTGATTGAACGAACAGTAATTAGATTTTTTTCTATTAGTATTTACTAAATTGCATCATTTGCGAATCTCTTCCAATTTTGATAGTGTGTTTTATTTATACTTTATTAATATTTTATTAATCTTTTTTTATTTATCTTTATTATATCTTATTAATGCATTACAGCCTTTGAGAATCGTATCGTTTAATCAATTTTTGTAGTAAAATTTTTAAAAAATGTTTGGAGTAATTTTCTGTAGGGATCACATTATGCAAATAAACATTTCTATAATTTTTTTTTGTTCAAGTAAAGAAACCTGAAATTAATTTACGATAAAAGTACAATATAGATATTAATTTCTAAAATATCAGATTAAGTATGATTAATTTTCTTACCTACGAGAATTATCCTATGTATCGCTACTTGGTAATGTTTTCGTTTTGCCATTTCTAGCGTCAGTCTCCGTCGAAAGTGCTTGTCTGACAGAGCTGTCGACCACCGATTCTTCGTCCACGCGATGGCCGTTACTGTCGCTGCTTCTTTCAGACACTCCGACATCTTGTTGCTCCAACAAAGGCATTTCAAGGGAATCCGAGGAGATGCGTCTCGCGCTTCCGGCGAATTGCCCGGGAACGTCCGACGGCGTTTCCTTCGGGTCCTTCGCAACGTTGTTCAACGAGTCCGAGCTCAGGGACGGAAAGTCCAAGGTCGTCTTCATCTCGAGAGAGTCGGAGCTTCGACACAACGGATGCTTCTTCTCCGCGTTCTCCTCCAACTCTAAGGAATCCGTACTGGTCTCCATGACATTGCTCTCCCTCTGAATCGCTCGGGCCTCTTCGAATTCTTCCGTCTCCTCCGGAAGTGTTTCCGGAACCGGTTGGACCCCGATGACTCTCTCGGCATCGGTGATCTCGATCTGCGAGATGTCCTCCGTGGTGTCGTCCTGCCGATCGAGCTTCTCCACGTTGGACTGCGCGATCCGTATTATCTCGTCGATCTCCTTTATCCTCTTCTCGTAATCGTCCGATCCGGAAGTGCTAGGATTGAACGAACCGGTTGCACTGGTATCCGTCCTCGAACGCGGCAGGTTCTCCATTTTGTACTTGTTTTCCGGACTCTCGTGCTCCAGCAGTTCCTCCTCCTCGCGGGCCCGCAATTCCATCAGGTGGGCCTCCCGGCAGGCTTTCTCGAGGCCCTCGAAGTCCTTCAACGACGACAACGAGATGTCGTCGCCGTGACCCGAGCGACCGGTCATGTATCTCCTCGGGAGGCTGCCGTTGTTGACGGAATCCTGCGAGCCGCATTGCAATCTCCGCGAGTTCTCGGCCGCCACGGTGCTCTCCAAGTTCTCGAATTCCTGCAGGGAGGTCAAGGACACGGTGTCGTGATCCGTGGACTTGTTGAAGTACCTCTTCCCGAGGACGTCGTAATCCGGCGTGCTGCCGAAACTGCCGCGCATACTTCCCACGCTGCCTATAGACTCCTTGTGGCTGCCCAAGCTGCCTATCCTGCTGCTGCCGGCCTCGAAATCCGTGACCTCTTCCTCCTTGATATCCTCGAGCGGCCCGCGATCGTACTCGATGTCGTAGACTCGCGCGTCCGCCTGGAATTGCATCTCTATCCACTTCTTGCCCTCGTACGGCTCCTCGTCGGAATAGGACTGGGATTGGTCGTCGTTCGACGCCTGAGGCGGGCTCTCCTCGGTGTCGAAGTCGAAGAGATCGTTGTTCTTGGAGGCCTGACTCGTCGACACTTGCTCCTCTTTGTTCTCCGTCATCAGATTTTCCAGATCACGGTCGTACTGCTTACCGGACGTTTGAGGTATCGAGCTAATGCGAATACTCTTGCCCTCGGAGTCGAATTCCTCGGCCTCCCGTCCGACTTCCTCGATTACCACGAAATCGTCGATGATGTCGGGCTTGTCTACAAGCTCGAAGGAATCGCTGTCGGGCGAGTGACGATCGGACCTGTCCTTCTCTACGACTGTGTCAAAGGACATTCCCGATGCCGAGGATAGAGACATGCTGGCCTGCTGTAGCATCGAGTGGACGGATGTTGTCATCACCGGCTCGAGACCTTCATCCCCGGCAGTTTCCACGTCCAATCTCTGTTCCGCATCCGTTGTCTCGGCGTCTTTCTCTTCTTCCAGACCTTCCGCCTCTTCCAAATCTTCCTCGAGCTCCTCGCTATCACTGGGCCTGGTGACTCGCGTCGAGATTACCTGCGTGCATACGCTTTGAATCCCGTCCTCGGACACTCGTGACGTCATTATGTCAACCGACTGAAGAGCACCAGGCGCTTCCATAGAGGTAGATGTGGCCGAATCCGCAACTTTAGCCTGATTCTCTTCCAATACGTCGTCCATGGACTCCGCTTCCAGACTGACGTTGTCGTCCATGATCTGTTGGAAGATCATCTCGGACGAGCGCTTCATGCGACAAGGTATATGACTGTCGATCTTATCCATAGTTTCGTCCATTGGTATCTCTTCGCTCCCGGAGGAATCTGACGCCTCGACCAACTCCTGCTCCGCGTCCAGTGCACTCTCCAGGTTCTCGTCTATCTCATCCTCATCGTCGTCAGCTTCCTCGGATGGTACCAGAGTTTCTGACAGCTCGCTAGTGCTATCGATACTGCCGAGATGACCTGAGCTAAGGGAATTCAAGGACTTCATAGATTCGCGGGAACTCAATGAACTCACCGCAGTCTGGTACTCTTGTGACGTCGGCAACGTCTTTGAGCCTTCGTGTTCGACCGACATCATCGCCGTCTCGTATTCCGAAGCGGTCCCAGATTGCACCCCGCCCGCTGCAGATTGCATCGCTTCGACGTCGGACGAACTAGGTCTACTTCCGCTCTCGTATTCACAGGACTGATAGTTGCTTTCGCCGGAACTTGAACCGACATCAGCCTCGCTCTCAGAAGTTTTCACTCTCTTCGATATTCTGCTCGGCTTGTGACGTCTTCTGGGTACCGGATGAGGCGGCGCCAAAGAATAGCTGTCATCTCTGTTATCGATGTCCGAACTAATGTCTGATGATCTACTAATGGGAAGGGGACTAGGACGACCCTCGTCTTCATCCTCCTGTTGATCGTCTTGAAGGGTTAGTACGGTCTCCTTTTCTTCTCGCTTTTCAGTATCGATTTCAGATGCTTGGACCACAGTGATTGATTTGTCCTCAGTGACTGCGGCTGCTTGAACGATGGACTTATCGTCGATAGTGTCTCTTGCTTCTTCCTGTTTTACCTCCTCGAGTTCTTGAGTTCTTGCGACCGGCAATTCACTTTGCGTTGTAGGTTCAGTCGGGAGTTTCATCTCGGCTTCCGGTTCAACCTCCGCAGGAACGTGTTCAATGGACGGTGGTTTGTACAAAAACGGTAAATCATTCGGAATTGATTCCGGCTGGAGTTTGAACTGAAATTCTGAGGGCGAATCTTTTATCTGAATCACAGTCTGACTGTTTTCACTCAGCTCCTCTATCAAATCTTGTCTAGCCGCTTCCAAGGACTCCTTTACCTCGGCGATTTCTTTCTTCACCACTTGATCCAAGACCGTAATCGCGTACCGCGCGCTCAGATCGACGCTCTGTAGATCGTCTTTCTTTATTTTCAAGGCACAAGTATCGGAGGGAGGCGCCGTCGATTTGCTGGATTTATCATGCTTATCAGTAGTCTTTTCCATGTGTCGTTTATATTCCTCGCTAGGAGGTTTAATTTTCGTCAGATAAGTCTCCGTCCATTCTTTCAGCACGTCGTCAACTCTCGCACATTTTGATACTTCCTGTTTTTTAGAATCTTTCTCAGCTTCGACAGTTGTTTTTATCTCTTCTTTGACTTCTGCTTTCTCTATTTTTTCATCCGCAGACTCGATGTCCTTTTGCGCTTCTTCGGCTGCCATATGCGTGGAATCTTCTATTTCTTTCTTTATCGGAGACGCTTTACTAGTGTCTTCCAATTCAGTTTCTACCTGCACTGCAGAAATCTCTTGTTGAGAAAGCTCTGTATCTGCCTCCTGAAGTTTAATCTCCGCAATTTTCGCAGATATATATTCAGTTAAGTCTTTTGCTTCCTCTTCTTTCATAGGTATCTCTTCCGTGACAGCTTCGGTAATACTCGTTTCCAGATCAAAATCCTCGCGAGATATGGATTGACGTAAACCGACCGCATCTTCCTCTGTCGGCGTTTTAGCATCGTATTCTCGTTGCAGGGTATCCACCAACTCTTGACAAGTAACATCTAATTTATCTTCTATCAGTTCGTTGTCGAAATCTGGCTCGGTTACTGATTCGATCACTGGCTCGATCACCGGTTCGATCACTGGCTCGATCACCGGTTCAACCACTGGCTCGATCACCAGTTCGACCACTGGCTTGATCACTGGTTCAACCACTGGCTCGATCACCGATTCAACCACTGGCTCGATCACCGGTTTGACCACTGGCTCGATCACCGGTTTGACCACTGGCTCGATTACTGGTTCCACCACTGGCTCGATCACCGGTTTGACCACTGGCTCGATCACTGGTTCGACCACTGGCTCGATCACCGGTTCAACTATTGGCTCGATCACCGGTTCGGCCACCGGGATCACGGTGAACTTCGTAGTCTTGGTCGTAGTAGTCGTGACGACCACGTTAACATCACTACTGGTAACGGATTCTTTAACAGACTCGATGACACTGATATCCTCCGAGGACTTGGTCACGGATTCTTGTTCCAAGTCCACGGACTCATCCTGAGAGGAGGTGCGAGCACGTCTTATGGACGTCTCATATTCTTCCAATTCCTGATTGAATACTTGAGAAGGTTGCAAAGTTTCCGATATCTCGATCTTTTCGTCGCCGATCATCCAGTTGACCGGCTTGATCTCCAGGTCGTGCACGAGCTTTGTCCTCGGGGAGACCAACGGCGGACTCTCAATCTCGAAACTATCCGCTCTATGTCTGTCTCCTGCGTCATACTCTTTCGACGAAATAGTCGTGGAAGATACGTGCTCGTGACTCGGAGGATAGTCCGCATTAACGTCTTCGGACACTGTGCTAGAACTGACGGTCGCGTCCTTTTCCTGGGCAATCTTCTCCAAAGAATCCACCGCCGCGCTCTCGTGCAAAGACGCTACATCCTTGCTGGTCTGTTCGGATATCTTGTGCTCGTCCAGTTCTAAAGATGGCATGTCGACCGAGTCCTGACGGCTGTCTACGCCCGGCTCCAGGATCTCCAATACTCTAGCGCCCGAGATTTCCGACACCATCTTATCTTTCGAAAGAGTAGTATCGCTATATATGTCTCTCTGAAGCGGTTCGATATGACTACTCGATCTATCGGAACGAAGTTTTTCAGATTGTGGACTGGATGTAGGCTTAGATAGGTCCTCCAGTTCTCCGGTATCGACATCGATGGTCTCTTCGAGTTCAATCTGCTCGGATATACTGCTGGGACTCATAGTGATGTCTCTGTCTTGGAGTTTAGCTTGCGAAGACGGCAAGCTTTCTTCTCGATCATGCGATGACTCTTCATCTTTCGTTATATCCTCGCTAAAGCTGATGCTGTCTCTGGTAGATTCTTTCTCGAATGTTTCTTCTTGTATAGATGTTTTTGACAGCGTTCCTTCGATCGGATGATCCGCTTTGCTTTCTGCCGATTGTTCGTCGAAAGATTTTTTGATCATACTTTCAAACTTTCTTGTCAAGTCGTCAGCCAGTTTTTCGTGATCGGTATCGATGCTCTCGGTCATTAGTTGATCGAGATATTTTTTACTCAACATCTGAGGCTTTAATCCCGACGTCGATGATCGTTTCTCGATCTCGCTCTCAATTGACTGTATCAAATCTTCCGCTATATTTCGCGCTTCCATTTCTTTAGCGATCAGTTGCTCTCTCTCTTCCAAGGATCCCGGAACTTTTTTACTCTGAAATTGTGCGTCTTCGTCAGCCTTCTCAGTTGAATCCGACTTGTACTTTTGACTAGGTATAAACTGTTCAACTTTAAAACTCTCCAAATTCTCTTTATAAGATTGTCCTTGCGCGAGCATTTCAACCTTTCCTATTTTTTCGTCCTTAGCGGCTTCGGGTGACTCTTTAATATTTTCCACCTCCTTCGTATCATCCTTTTTAATTCTGATTGCCACATCCACATCGCTTTCTCTGGTTCTACTGCTTCCGGACTTCTCCATCGCAATTCCCTCTTTATCCTCCAACAGTTTGAACAATTCTTCCTTCTTGCTCTCCGCTCTGGACTCGGAAGCGCTGGCGTCTATCACTTCTTTACCTTCTGTCACGTTCATCGACATTTTCTGCATAGCAGTTTTGTCCACCTCCTCGCTCTTGCTCTTCTTCTCTTCTATCGTCTCAGCCGGTGACTCTTTAGTCAGCTTAGATTCCGAAGACTTCTTCCTTTCTACTTTCTCCTTCTCCTCGTGAGTTATAAATTTATCCGCTCCACTCGAGATCTCCGACGAAAGTATCTCCTTCTTCTCTATCTTACTCGTAGCCTTGGTGTCGATCTTCGAAGTGACGGTAGCGAAATCTTTGTCTTTCATGGCGCTTATATCTTCGAACATTTTGAATGCGTCCTGCGCGTCGGTGAACGTCTTGGAAAACGTCTGCGTCTTGCTCTTCGTGGTCGAGCGTTCCTCGTGTCGCGAAGTGACTTCCTCGCTGGATGTTTTCTCGGTAACTGTGATAGTCTCGCCATCCTTTTGCCCCGGCGAATCCTTCTTCGCGTCCTTTTCCTTCACCGCTGCTCCTTCTACGATGCGTTTAGGTATGCGAGACTCAAATTCCTTTTTCTTGCCGGATGGCGAAACGATATCCTTCTCCTTTTCCTCCTTTTCCGGACTCTTTTCCTCTTTATCCGCTATTTTGACTCTCGCTTCCTTCTGGCTCTTATCCTTCTCTGCCATTGATGTCGAAATCGGGATGCGAGACTCTTTCTTTATTTGTTTGACTTCCGTGTCAACAGAGGGCTTCGCCTCTTTCTCGAGATTAATGTCAGCCACTTGTTTGGCAATTATCTCTTCCACTTTCTGCAACATTTCAGACGCCTCTCCTTTGAGCGATGATTTATCCTCGAACCTTTTATCCTGTTTTTCCTCGATCTTTTCCATTCGTAATTTCTCAATGTCCTCCGGGAAACTCTTCTCGAACATTTTCGTTTCCATACTAATTTCCGGGATTTGTGTAACCGACTTGTCGCCGTTTGCGCCTTCAATTTGCACCGATTTAAGGACCTGTTCCTGCACCAGAGTCCCGTCTTTCTGCACTGTATAGATGATTGTTGTCTCCTCCGTTATTATTTTCCTTCCCGACATCTTTTCCTTCACGATCTCTTTGCTATGTGGCGTTTCCGGTCTTGACTGTACGACTTCCGTAGATACATCCGGTTTCTCTCGTGTCTTGATTTCTTCTGTAACTACGGTAAACGTCGAGATATCTGGCTTTGTATCCGAAATGTGAATTTCTTCCTGGAGCATCTTTATCGGTTTTGTAATCTCTTCTTTAGTTTCTTTCTTAATTTGCTGCTGAATATCTTCTTTTACTTCGTGTTCTTTTACAATTTCTTCAGGGTGTATTTTTGCCTCTTCCGTTTTCGTGTCTGCCGAAATGGTCTTAGCTATTACTCCTTCTGGTTTTTCCAATTCCTTTATTTCGCTTAATTCTTTCTCGTCCTGCGACTTATCGGTTCTCAATGATACCTCCTCCGCGTATTTCAACGATTGCGTTTCCTCAGCGAGCTCTCTTTCCTTGTTCAGTAACTCTTTGCAAATCTCCATCACTGGCTGAGCTACCATCTTCTGAACTTCCTCACGCACGTCTTTACCCTCATCCGTATCCTTTTCCTTTTTATCGATATCTTTCGTCTCTTTCGACCATTTGGTGTCCTCCGTAGCAATTTTCAAAATCTTTTCAATCTCCCTCGATTCCGCTACGTGTTTCTCTTCGATGTCGACGTCCCTTTTCGTTACGTCCATCATACCTTTCTCCGTGCGATCTTTTTGATCCTCGATCGACTTGCCTCTGAAGAGGGGCAGCTTGTCCTTCTCGGAATCTTGCTGCAACCTCGGGGTGACCTTCGCCTCCTTCATCTCCTTCTGTATCTGCTCCTCGAAGTAATGCGCCTTTTCCGCCACCGAGCACTCCGAGATATCCGGCAGGTTGATGTCCTCGATGGTCTCCGATCTCATGACGTCCGAGATACCCTCCGTCGTCCCGTCACCCTCCTCGGAGACGATGTTCGGTAGACACGACTCGCTGTCGCTCTCGTTGATGGTCAGTTGGGAGGCCCTCGAGACCTCGGATTCGGAGCGCTGATAACTTTCGCGCTTCCTCGAAATATCCTCCCAGAACTTGCGCTTCTCCGAGTACGTTTGCCTTTCGAGTTCGGGCGATAGGTCCGACTCCGATTGGCCGGCGCCTACTTTATTGGGATAACTAGCATCTACGGATTCTAGGGGACAAGCCGCTTTTTGTGCAAAGGATTCGTGGATAGCGGCATCTAGAACAACCAAGAATTATGCTCACATTACTTTTTATTAAGCACGTCGTTATAATAGCTGGGATACATTGTGTCTCTATTTTTTACAGTATTGTTCCGTTATATTCACAGCGAGATCTGGCGATCGAGAACTTTCGTTTCGCAAACCCTTCATTCTCTTATTTTTCTTTTCTTTTCTATGCAGTCGTCGCAGATACAAGATGTACTAAACTCATAATTGAAGCCGCAAAATGCAAAACAGCGTGGAATCTCGAGAAATCCTTCGTTTCAGATAGAGATGTGATTTTTTTTTTATTGAGACAAGTACAATATGATATATAACAATGATTCGTATAATAAAAATTAATTTGTTCTGTTTTACATTCGACGGCTTTAATTCTTCGTAAAGTACAGCTTATAACAAGTATCGAATGTAATGTTACCGCACGTATGACTATTATTTTTATTATATATTTCTGAGGTATATGTATAAGAGAATAGAAATTATTAGATTCATCATATGCACAATATAATTTGAATTTGATTAACTGCATTCAACGAAAGAAATAATCCATAAATATTTGGAAAATAAATTTCTCCATGTTGTTCTTGCACATACAACGACTTGATTCTAAAGAAAAAGAAAAAAAATAATACTATTGACAAGAAAAGAAAATATCGACGTAATTATCTATGTACGTATTTACATATCATATATCATATAATTATAATTATATGTATGTATATATGTATATATGTGTGTGTTTATTTATATCGGAAAATTTCTCTAGTCTGCGGAGACATACTCTTTTGCATTAATATCCCATATGGTTGTCTATGATAATGTTGAGGACGGCAGTTCGGTCTGCAAGTATAACAAGTACACATATTGCGTTATTATCGGTTTTATAACGAAAACATAAGAATTAATTTGTCGATAATCGTTCCACGCGCATCGCATTATTATCCGATTATTTATAAATAGACGAATAATATTTCCGATACATTTATAACTGTTATATAAGCGGACTTCTTTGGACAAGAAACACTATTTTAAATGAATTGATGCAATTAATATTGTTTTTCGAAAGTTAATTATATCGTATTCTTTATTTTGCTTAAAATATTACATTTGCCCCATTAACAATTTAATAGGCACGGTGCAAAAAGAAAAACGTAAGAACTGCGACAAACTACATGAGGTATCGCATAGGAATTGCCCAGAAAATAATGTTCCTGTTATTATAGTATATTTTACATGATATATTTTTTTTGATGATTTTTATTTATATATATTATATATTTATTCCAAAATTAACACCATAATGGAAATAAGTATGTTTCTTATCTTTAAGTATTATAATTGTTTCAAATAATTGTAGTTTTTTTAAATAATTTTACTTGATTCATTTTCATGAAAAAAACATTTGCTGTGAAAAAATCAAAATTACTTTCGCGGAAAATGGTAAAGAAAAATAAGAAAATAATATTAACATAAAGCTAATTTAAGAATAACATATACTGGTTTTATGGGAAACATAACAATGTTAAATATCTATAAACTTTGTATCGTCTAGCTTCTTTATATTTTCTTGATCATATTTCTGAAACTTTTGACAGCTGCTTGAATGTTATAGAAATATTTTTCCTACAGGAAAAATTCTAATATATTCTATTTATCTTCAAAACTTCCTACTGAATGGAGAGAGAACTTTTTGCATTTAACAATGTTATGCAACTCTCGTTGTGTAAGTATATCAAATCCCATTAGACATCTTCAGTGACTTTACCCAATCACATTGTGGTCGATAGCTCCTTACAATAGTCCATTAATCATCATTTTTACAGTCAGACATCTTGATATTCTGTTAATGGTATGTTAATTTTTGCATGTTGTTTGCAATTTGTATGATCGGAGAAATCATGGAAATTGCCCAAGACCTTGATTCCAAGAATTATCATTTCATATAATTTTTTCCAATCTATTTTTAATATATTTTAATTTCTTTTTTCAGCAACACAATTCTGTTTAATCGACGTCCTCAACATCGGTATGACAATCGCTGGCAGCCTCGTCGACATCCGGCACATGCAAGGTATTCTCCGTTTTGTTGGTCATGACAGTTTGAGATGCGGACAGGATGTCTTCATACACGTCGTCATATATGTGACTGCAAGCGGCTGCCTCGTCCAGCTTAGCCTCGTCCTCGGACGCTTCCATATCCTCGCTGTCGGTGGGCACATCCGGCACATCCTCAGCATCTCTCTTGTCGATGGAGATCTGTTCGCGTGACAATCGATTTCGCACTTCTACGGAAAACGGCCCGTCGCCCTCCTTGGTTGTGATCATCTCGTCGGCTAACTCCGTCAAGATGTCCGATCTCGGTGCAACGTAGATTGTTGGCTCGATATCTTCATCGCCTTCCATGTCCTCCAGATCCGTCTCTCCTTGATAATTGCTGTCGATAACGTTCAGATTGCGTCTGGTGTTCTTTTCCTCGATTTCCGTGTCCTTCTCGTCGCTGTAAATCTCATCGACGTCAGTGAGGTTCTCCGCGAAGCTGTTGCGTCTCGATCGAGATCTGGCCTCACTGTCCGCTATGAGATAATCGAGATTATCGTTGATTGTCGCCTCGGAGGATTTGGCGTCCTCGGTACCGGTGATAGAGATTAAAGGACTGTCCATCTGCAAAGTTTGCGTGGCCTTGAGTTTGCCGACTTTGTTGGTAATCATTGTCAACTCGCCCTCGGAATCCGTATCGGAAAAGTGAAACGACGCATTGCTCATCATGGCATTCAAGCGTTTCCTGGAGGATCTGGATTTACGTTTGATCTTCGTTCCAGAGGAACAATCTTTCTCGTTCGCTTGACTATTCTGCTTCGTTATGGTACGATCGTGCTCTTTCGTCGCCATGTCTGCTCGATTTCTTATGCGATTCTAACGTGTCGATCGTAAGTACAAACTACTAATGAACTTAAAAATATCTGAAACTGAAAAGTGTAAGAAAAAAGAAATTAACATCAACATAAAATAAAGTTTTAAATAAATTTTTTAAGGCAAATAAAAAGACATAACTGAAGATTTTTCAGGGCAAAAATAAAAAGAATTCGTCAACCATACGATCTATTTTAGAGGCATATATATATAACTTTATATTTGAAAATTAAAATTTTATAAATTGTAGATTTGTTTCAGTTTTCTGTCAATTTTAATTAATCAAATAGATGAAAAGAAAAGATTAGAGAAAAGTATAATTAACAAATGTCAAAACTGAAAAGACACTCACGTTTTGACAATTGCGTGTGGATGCTTGAAAGAAAGATGAGATATGAAATTTGCACCATTCCCTTCGTCAACATAGATTGAACTAAAGAAGTCCGCCACCAATAGTTTCAAGCATGATGCTGTTACGTTTAATTAAATTAAGGAAGCCTCATCCAATTCTTAAGCTGTAAGCCGATTATCTTTCTCCCCTTAAATAAAAATAGATGGAATTTTACGTCTCAAAAAACGATACTCGACAATGATTTTCCTTCCTTCCTCGTCAAAAAGTATTTTTCTTTTTTCTATCTTGCACACGAACGACCTACGTCGCCAGATCTTTCTCTAGATATCGCTTTATTCCTTTCGGTAGACGTGAACGATATAAAAATATCTTGACGTAACACAAAACATTTCTTGACGAGACACACACAGACTCACACAGATAAACATACACACACTTAATGCTTCATTACACAAGTTCTCTTTTTGCACCTTGCATTTTTAGTGTCATAAGCGAAATTGATTTTGAAGTCAGGACATTTCCAATTAGAATAATTCAATCTTCTCGGAATACTTGATATATTCGCACATGTATTTTATATAAGAGAAGTATCCTATTTTTCTATTTCCTACGGTTTTGATATCATACCTGTTTGTTCCTTTTGTAAGGTGTCGGTTATGAATTTCTTTTCCGATGGCGATGTTTCTTTAGGCTTGTCAGTTTTCTCCATTTGTTCCATTTTGTACTTTGATTTATAATAATCTAATTTTTGATTTATGATATTAGAATCTTCGTAACCTGTAATAATAATTAAACAAAAAATCATTAGTAACGATAAAACATACAAATGTCGCCTAGAAGCACTCATTTTCGATTAAAGATAAAAAAGAGAAAGGAGAGAAATGTCGCCTAGAAGCACTCATTTTCGATTAAAGATAAAAAAGAGAAAGGAGAGGAGATGAATCATTCTTTTCGATCAATCTTAATTTTATTATCAAAAAAAGAATTTCTTAATTTTCTTATATATATCACAAAATAATTCGTAATTGTTTTATGAAAAACAGAAAATATAATATGAAAGTATTCAATATTTTAATAAGACACAGATGTAGGATGGTAATGCATTAATTTTAGAAAAAATTAATTTTTAAATAATTATGTACAGCACATGAATTTTTTTCCTTTATTTTCTTCAGGGGACTAAAAGGATCTTACTAATATTAAATCTAGAATTGAGATTTGATAAAAGACCAAGAAAAATTCCTTTTTTGAAATTTGTTTTATATGAGAATCTTATTAATCTCATAATTGTTGTTACAAATTGTTTAATCGTAGAATGAAATAAATAAATAATTTTGGAATATTATATGGCTATATTAAAATTAGGATAATTTGTAATTGGTTTGTCACATATTTTCGGCAAAAAATAGACAATTTCGCAAGGGAATATGTCTCGCATATTTTTTTTGTACATTATAGAATATTCAGTAAGCATACCTTTTAACTTCTTCTGCATCGCATCTTTAATAATAGTTTCGGGAAGGACAATATTTAACACACAAATAGGCTGCTGAGATGGTTCTCCTTTAGCCACTTTTGGCTCTCTCATGAATAACATCCTCGCTACTGGATCAAGTAATGGATCCTTTACTTTAACATGGAACGATAATCGATTCTGTCGGAAAGCTTTGAACGTGAATTTCAATTGCACTCCAGACTTTGTTACTGGCACTAAATTCCCACTAAACTCGATATAAAGATCTTTTCCGTCGAGTGCCTATTAAATAAATAAATTACAAGAATAATAATATTAATACTGATATTAATTGACATATTATAATTAGTGAGTCTTAAACTTGTAATAAAAATAATTTTGTTAAAAAACGGAAAATAAATATATTAATATTTATTTTATTTATATTATTTAAAATATATAAAAATTTAAATAGAGACAAGAGAATATTTTATGAAAATTAATAAATTAAATCTTTATAATAACAATATATAAGTCAATAAAAATTATAAATTATTTTTTGTACATTAAATTAACATTGCTTAAAGATTTTGGTAATCAAAATAGCTTGATAATTATTGTATTATATCAAAAGAATACCTCAACGTCGCGACTCTTAACGATTTCTGTAAATTCCTCTTGCCTTTCCAAGGTATGCATGCCTTCCTTGCCGTCAGTCATGCACAATATCCTTAATGTGGCTTCCAACACGTCCATCCTCTTTGAATAAATTATGAAACTATGGAGGAAGAAGCATTTATTTATTTTACTGTGAAAATTAAGTAATCGCTGTTAGGAATCATGTTACGAAAAGTCGCTTACTTTGTTATATACGGCACGTGTAAAGATTCCATATATAATTCCGTTGCCATTTTTGGTACCGCGCCGATATTTCTGCAGTCCATCAACCAAAATCTGGCTGAAACGGTAGTGGTGAACGATACTTTATCGTTCATGAAAGTTAACGGCGTAGAACCAGTAACGTCTTCCCATTGAGACTCGTTAGTTCCACCTAAAATAAACAAATTTTTATTAATACAGCAACATTATAAAAATAAAAAAGAGAAAAAATATTCATTTTATAAAATATAATTTACAATATATTCTTGAATTTTTTTTCTGTTAATAAAGTATTCGAGAAAAAATGCAATATTTATTTATGGCTAATTTAATATCAATAATTTTTCAATGAATTTAATGGAATTTTCAATGAATTTAAACAACTAAAAATTGTATCCTTTTTTATATTTAATATCTCAATTATGCTTCTTTGTTTTTTTCATCCGAAAAATAGATTTTAAATTAAAATATTATTTTTAACTATTATTTTTTAAATATTATTTTCAAATTTAGTTTTAACTAACTTTTCAGTTAACTTTTCACACATATGCATATTCAATTATAAAAGCAAGTTCGCTTATTATAAATCAAATGTAATTTTTCTCTTTTCTCATCAAATTATTTTCTCCCCTTCCTTTCTCATAAATTTCAAAGATATATTTTTATTTCCTTCACCAACTTGTTTAAAATTTTCAATCCATAAGGGTACCTGCAATGCTGCATAAAAGGCGCAATGTAGGAGTCTCTCCACCATACTGATTGATCATCCCCTTATTTGCGGCCTGTGGCACAGGAATCGTAAGGGTTATCGGTTTGTGGAACTTGCGCCTTCTGGGTTCTATCGTGATCACTGGCGATACGGCGACGCAATTGCCGAGTAGTTTGGCCGTGAGTTCAGCAGGAATAACATGCGCCTGAATAAAAATAAAAACTTTATATTTTCATTATCCTTCTACTCGCGATCCTGTAATAACATAAACCAGATCGAAGCTTTTACTTGCCTGTAAGCCAACTTTGATCTTTTTCGTTAATGCTCCCGCAGGGAAAACGGCTTGCACGTGGCTCGCCACGCTAGATATCAAAATACCACCCTCGGCACCGATAACGTGAACCTCTTGCTTAATTCTGGTTACAATAGCAAAGTATTGTGGAAAGTCCGTAGTGATTATGCGAGTAATCCTGCCCGAATGTGCGGCGCTCATTTGAGGATCTAAGCAAAAGAAAATATTATAATTAATTAAAATCAAACCGTTGTTTCTTATTTATCTTATTTATCTTATTTATATTTAATTAATTATTACATAATATATAATATATTTATTGATATATAATGTATTTATATAATATATTGAATAATTAATTTAACATTAATATGTCAAAGAATTAATTTAATATTAAATTAATTATTTATTAATAAATAATTTAAAAAAATTATTTATTAAAATTTAATTATTTAATTATTAATAAATTTAATATTAAATTAATTATTTATTAATAAATTAAATAATAAAAAAATTTATTAAATTATTAATTTAATATTGAATACACATCAAAATTATAAATACAGGCATTTGTTAAGATTACAAATTGGGTAATATTAATAAATCTATATATTATATATTATATAATAATATTTTTAAAAAAATTAGAAAATTCAGGAAACAAACCTATATGATTTATAATTTATTAAAAATTAAACAATAACATATATTGATTTTTAGAAATTATGTACCATAAGACGTATTGAGGAGAGTGTCATCATTATCCGCAGAATTATCGTGCTCTTTCCACGTTTCTCCATTCTCGCTCCGCAGAATAATAATTTCCCTTTCTTTCCCACGAACGGACGCAAAATTCGGTATGTCAATCAAGACGGGTCTGAAATCAATTTATTTTCGTGCAAAAACGGATATAGGCGAAAAAAATTGGTATGTTATATGTAATATATATAAAACATATTTTTTATAGAATTAAATTTACCCTAAGAATCTTGCCCCCACCGGACCCATCTCGATAATTCGCGTAGCAAGCGCCTCGCCTTCCATCAAAGGAGGTGGATTCGCTACCTTATTTAGTTTTAACAATCTGCATGTTACGCGAATCGGCATCGTCGCTCTTCGAGGAGGTATAATGATGCGCACACCGCTGTGTCTGCACCCTTTCATGGTACCGCCACGTGCGTCCACCAGAAAACTTATTAAAAATCTATAAATGCAAATTTTGATGACATTCTTTTATTCGTTTGCATTTTTTCTATTTTTATTTTGTACGGTTTCATACTTACGATCTGAAATGCAGCTTTCTGCAAAAAAAGAAATACATTTTTAGATAAAATTTACAAGAATATAAAGGAATTTCTGAATAGAAATTTATTTGATTATTAAAATACATTTTATTTTTGTTTAATTATTAGAAATATATTTTATTAAATTTTTTTAATTATTATTAATTAAATAAATTTATTGAAATATATTTATTTATTATAATCAACAATTGTTTTACGTGAATATGTAACATGTTAAAAATATATATATTGTTATATTACATATTTTATAAAGTAAAAAAATTAATTTCTCGATACTCACCCAAGATTGACACCATCGGTACTATCAAAATTTTCTGCTAAACAGTAATTATTGCTTTGCGCGAATTGTTGCTTCTCTTCCTTAGTAACTAAAAAAAGAAATAATTATAAAATTCATGTATTCATATAACTCTTTAAAGTCTAGTTCTTTTCTTAATTTAAAAATATCTATGTAATATTATTGTATTTGAATAGAACTAACAATAAAACAACAACAATAAAACAAATTGAAAATATTAAAAAGATAGAAGGAAGAAATAAGATGCCTAAGATGATCAAAAGTTTTATCTTTAAAAGTTTTGATCATTTATCTTAAAAATTATAAGATCTTAATTTCGAAAATCTTATTAAAGTCGTAAATTAGTTTGTGCGGTTATTTCATTGAAACTCATAATATTTTTTTTTAAATAGACAATTTTTTAATTACCTGGTCTGTGTACTGGATCATCCCTAGTAACGTCAATAGGCAAGGAATCATCCCTTAGACTCTTCATCAGGTCCGCCGTGAGATATCGATAAGGCTGCTCGCTAATCAACGCGTCAGAACCTGAAAAACGAAAGCTTTTTTTTACAAGCAATTTCATTATTTCGTATTAGCATTAATTAATCTGTATCCGTGCGCACACATACCTCCCTCGTCATCCGAATCGGACATAAAACTAGTCTCCTGCAAGCTTTCGGGAGCTATTACCTTGTACTTCTCTTCCCAGTTTTTATTATCCGGAGTTGCACTGTCGTAAGGCAATCCTTTTAGCACTTCCATCACAGAAATATATCCTAATTTTTGTGCTATATTCAGCGCCGTTAAACCATCCTATGAGTTTCATAAATTTATTACAAATGCTCCCGGAGAATTATATATCTTTTTATGATGTTATAATAAATGTATAATATCTTAATAAGATAAGAGATGCTTGGCTAATTATTGTAAAAACATAAAGTTATGTAATATTTTAAAAATAATTATTTTAATAATAATTTTGATCATAATCATATTTTAATAGAAATTAATTTTTAATATATTATATATTAGAGAATCTGTCAAATTAAAGCATTAATAAATATTATTATAAACATTAATAATTTATTATTATAAACATTATTATAACACTGTTATACAGCCGCGTACAGCAGTAACATCTTACATTAGTGCACGCTTTATGCGAAGCATTTCCCTCCAACAAAGCAGAGACGATATGAGCATGACCCTGTTGAGCAGCCTGATGAAGCGAAGTGTAATTCTGATTAGTTCTGACATCTATCTCTGCGTTATGTTTCAGGAGAAAGCGTATCATCGAGAGATTCCCGAAGTGCGCGGCCACGTGTATCGGTCTGTAACCAGTCTCTGTCTGGCTCTCGACGTTGGCTCCGTTCTTCACCAGAATAGAAGCCACCCTGATGAAATCCTCTTGCGCGCATAGATGCAACGCCGTGAGGCCGTTCTGATCCAGAAGAAGAGGATCAAGAATGAGAAGGTATTAAGTCTATTTATTACATTTCTCGTTGCATAGAATGAGTAGGAAAAAGCAGACACTATCGTCTGAACAAAATTGATATTATTAAGGATTGTTTTATAAAAATTTAAAGTCGAAAATAATTTAGAGAGAGGAAATTCATTAGAGAAAATCCAAGAAATTATAAAATCTTAGCGATAGTGAATGAAAAATCGCGCATGTAATGATTCTGATTGATTCTTCAAAATTTCGTAAAATTTAAAACTTGTATAGATGTAATTTATTTTGCAAAAATGGATTATTACCTTGGCTTTGTGATTGGGATCGGCGCCGTGTTCAATTAGCAAATTCGTCATATCATAATGGCCCTTTTGCGCGCTCAGGTGCAACGGAGTGAAACCCGCTTTGGATTCCGCGTTCGCGTCCGCACCATTTTCCAAGAGAGTGGAAGCAATATCCATCTAACCGCCATTGAAAGACGTGATTTTCGCGAAATAGTTAGCCAGAAATGGATTGTTAGATATCGTGCAATCTCAAATTCCAGCGTTACTAAAACCTATCGCTGTTTTTAATTGATTTACCTGATTCTTACGAGCGGCGATATGTAACGGAGTGTGTCCATTTTGCGAGGCAAGGTGGGATGACGCTCCCTTTTCTAACAAGAGATTCGCAACGTTAGGATGATCGTAATGGCACGCCAAATGCAAAGGTGTGATATCGTTCTGTAATATAATTTTACACAATTCAACTAAACCCGTTTGAAAAGGATAACTGACGAGGCATGAAATATCGCGTTGTGTAAGAATATCTTCTTAGATTTTTAAATAAACAATTAAAAAATAGTGACAATTAATCTTCAACTTTTATGCACGAGAACCATTTTAAATTTTTCGCTCAGAAAATTTGGAAAATTAATTTTCTAAAATTATCAATATATTTCGAATAATATAAAAATTGTTAGGAAAAGAGAGAGAAAGAAGAAATAGAAGAACGAAAATGCAAGAAAGTTCTCTTTCGCTCTTGCCTCAATATATGAATCTTATTTTCTTACACAACCCGATATAATTTATGGACGCGCACGAACCTTTCCTTGGACATCAAGTTTACTTTGTTTTTGCAAAAGTATATTTGCGACGTTCATATTTCCATATTTAGCCGCGATATGTAAAGGTGTGAAGCCATTTTTCGTTGCAGCCTTGAGAGAGGCATTGTTTTCCACGAGAATCGCCGCCACCTGTTTGTCAGAAAAATTTTGCGTTACAGAAAAAAATTTTTTCGACCGTATCTTTACTCACTCACTTTTCTTCAGTAATATTTTATAAATATTAATTATTTTTACGATAAATTTTGATCTTTTTTAATAGTTTAAATTATAATAAATAAATTCTGACATAATAAGATATGCGAGAAATAACGTTAGGCTTGTCTCCAAGCAAAAAGTTACCTTTTGCAAGACAAATGTTCATTAGAGAAGAGGAATGTGTAAGAAATCGATGTGCTTGAGGGTTCGAGCAACATGACGCAGATATGAAAATAATGACGGGTTTTACAAATTGTTATTATATCGGGGCTAAATTAACGTTCGTTTAATCACATCCGCGTTCTTAGAGGGAACTCTACAAAAGTGTAAGTAAATTATTTATGAGACGCACAGAAATATACCTAAGGGGAACGTTTGGGTTGACGCAGCGCTTGACAATCGATATCGAACCTCGGAGAAATAAAACGATTGCCAAATGTCACGGGGTGAAATTATGTCTACAATCTGGCTATACCTTCATGTATAACGAGCCTGATAAATTAGAAAGGGTGATAAATTAAAAGGGGGAAACGGTGATAAGATGAGCGAGAGAGAATGCATGCGTTTTTAGAACACATTAGGCGAGGTATGAAGAATTATTACATGTGCATAAAAATAAAAGAAGAAATAAGGTAACGTAAAGAGAATAAAAACAATGTAACGAAAAAGTTTATTACATAACGAGTACATGTGATGCGGAATAAAACGACGTAACATAAAATATATAATATACATAATCAAAGGTAAAACAAAAGGCAACGTCAACAGAAGATGCGAAAATGTGCGAGATAGATGAATCGACGATCGATGGATTGGAAACGATGATGCTTGTGGACGAGGTGGTAATAACGACAAACGTGTCCGCAGCTCGACTCCCATCCTACATGAGGTACTCGCGGTGCCGGCTCCAAAACAAGAACACCCTGTTTTGCGTGGCGATGTAATCCGCTATCTGCGCGAACTCTTTGTACATTACCTCCTCTTGACCCTCCTTCGCCGCGATATGAAGCGCCGTGTACATATCTTTCGTAGCGGTGTCCACAGCCGCACCGTGTTGCAGCAGCAGCATAACAATGTCGATATTCCCTAATCGGGACGCGATATGAAGCGGCGTCTGCTGCTCCTATAAAATAACGACGAGAACGAATATTGAAAAAAAAAAAGAAATTTGACAAGATTTAGTTTGCGAAGCGGTCAGATGAAAGCGATTAGAAAACTTGGAGTTGCAGAGTAAGCGATATTAACTCTTCGAGGCACATATAATTTTTCCAATTGATAAAAGATCATAATTAACATGACAGATCGATTCTTGCAAAAATTTTCCAAAAATGTACAATTTCTGCAAAAAAGATAGGAAATATGTTTTTTATTTATTAAATTTTACTTTTTTATTTAATCAAATATATTAAATTTTATTTATTTATTTTTTTAAATAAAGCTATAAAATAATTTTTGTACTTTGTCATTATATGCAAACAAGAGTTTAATTGAATAGACAAAGAATTTTTGAGTAGAAAAATAAAATGTTGCTCGTGCCTTGAAGAGTTGAGTAATTAAAGAAGAGAAAGCGTGAAGAAAGAAATGAGATGTTAGATTCGCCTTACTTGCAAGTGGAAAATCACACACTTCGATTGCAAATCACCAGTAAGAAACGTTTAAATGTCGATATGAGACTGGTTAATGGCTCATGCTTTTGTAATTTAAAAGGGGGTGCGTATGAGTGATCATTTGTATGTATATGACTTTCTAAGTTCTAATTTTTTCTTCTGTCTTTAAGTCAGGTACTTCACTGTCGTCAAGCAAGCTCTATTCTTCTCTCGATAAAGCGGCAAAGAAAGAGGGTTGAGGAAGGTTTTAGAGTCGGTTTCTCGGGATGCAACACGCTTTACTTACCCTTGCACGAGCATCGACTTTGGCACCATTTCTTAGCAAAATTCGAATAATGTCTGTTTGATTAGCTCTAGCTGCCAGATGCAGGGGTGTTTCGCCCCTGACAGTTGGCACGTCGGGATTGGCTTCATGCTGCAGTAGGAATATCACGATATTCATACACCCCATAAAACTGGCCACATGTAATGGAGTCAGTCCGGACTGCAAAACACATGTATAGTTTGTCTATTAATATTATTTTGACTTCGATGATGACTCCAGAATTAATTCTCGATCCTTTACGATCAGTGTCTCTCGGAAACTGTGACACGAATAAACGAATACATAAAAATGATCGTGATACAATAATTTACATTGATTGATTTTCGTCAGTTTTATTTAATCAACGCACGACCCTTTAACCAGTCTTCGAAATTAACCAAATTAATATTCAATCTCTTTTATTAGGGACGTAGAAGGACATATATAGATCTCTCTCATTCTTGATATCCGATACGTTAATTACCATTAATGTGCAATACATTTCAATGTGACTTTTTATCCGAATTGTACTCCTTTTTTTTAATTTACCTCCGCGCGCGCGGGAAACGATCATTTCTGTGCAATTTCTTTTTTTTTTTGCGATCGATACCACGATCGTAATATTCCATCGAACGCTGAACTATTGACACTGTGTGAAAACATTCGTGATTTACAGATGTGAGGAGACATTTATGAAGACATGATTCGATTGCGAGATGCTTGATTCGTGGAACCGGAAGGAACGCGTTACCTCGGTGGTCGACTCGATGGACGCCCCGTGCTTCAGCAGAAGTTCCACGACCTTGATGCGATTCTTCTTGCAAGCAATATGGAGAGGCGTGAAGCCGTTCAGAGCCCTAGCATTTGGATCGGCCTTTCGATCGAGCAGCAACTTGGCGACCCTGACGTGGCCGCAGTGCGCGGCAACGTGGAGCGAGGTCAGATAGTCGATGGTTACCTCGTCCACTGGAGCACGATGATACAGCAGCACCCTTGCAGCGTCCACGTGATCTCCTTGAGACGCCATGTGTAAAGGTGCGAGCCCGTTCTGCGCAAGAAAAAAATCAGTTTGATTATTAATTTAGGAGATACAAGTCGTGAAAAGTATGTTTATAGAATCAAGATTGAAAATACGTCGATCAAAAAGTTATCAGAGAATTAAAACATTTTAATAATTATAATATTCGGAGCAACTCTTCAAATATCACTCTATATAATCTTATTTTTAAAAGCTCTGGCTTTTTAAATTTTAATTTTTTAACAGCATTTTTTCCATAATTTATTTATCAAAGTGTCAAACGTAAAAATAATGATAAAAGGCTGTGAAAAGTTATTTAAAAATGCAATAAAAATAATAAAGAACTCTAATAAACAATATAAATAAAAAAGAGCTTTAATAAACAATATAAAAAAACAAGAAGGAAAACGGAAAAGAGCACAAATAATTATTTTTATAAAAAATCCTTTAATTAAACGATTCGGTTTCTCTTCGAATGTTTTTATTAATTCGATTTATTTTGTTAATAGTTGTTTCGAAAAGAAATCTAATCGTTTAATTAGAGGATTTTTTATGAAAGTTATTCGCGCTTTATTTTCTTGGATTTTAGCCCGCTTTATTTTCTTGGATTTTAGCCCGATTTTCCTCTTGTTTTTATTTGTTTATTTTGTAAATAATTTAAAATGTATTTATTTTCTTTGCTCGTCGGGATACGAGAAAAAATAGTAGATTTAGCAGAGAAGAATCTGCTGGAACGTACCTTGGTTCGTGCACTGATTGGTGCTGAATTCTCAAGTAACGTGCTGACAACCTGCTCGTGTCCTGATCGCGCTGCACAGTGAAGCGGAGTCAAGCCATCTCTGGTCTTAGCGTCGATTTGCGCCGAATTCTCCAACAGTATCTTAACCATATTGTTCTTGCCCCACTTTGCCGCCACGTGTAACGGACTTATATTATGCTGAAAAAAAAATACATTAAAATCGATTAAAAATATTAAATCATAATCGATTAAAATGTAAAAAAAGATACTAAAAACTCATATGTAATCTCACATTTTCACACATATAGATACATATATATTATAATTATAGGTTCTCTTAGAACGTACATTATGTATCAGCGTCTTCCATTTTCAAAAATTTAGAGATTTCGAGTTATTTTTAAACTGACCTATTCAATTATTTTTTGCCGTAAAGATCACCGGATGTACCTTACCTTAGCTAAGTAATTTACATCGGCTCCTCGTTTTATTAATAACCGCGCTATTTCCTCGTTACCATAATGAGCGGCGATGTGAAGAGGGGTGAAGCCACTCTTCGATGTCACGTCGGGCTTATGGTCGTTCTGTTCGACATTTGATGGCGTTATATTACTTCACACATCAATTATTTCTTACAAATCAAAGATCCACCGAAAGCTTACCTGCAAGAGCAAGTCGGCGGCTTTGCAATCGTCTTTCTTAGCAGCGATATGAAGAGCCGGTAGTCTGACCTTGCCTTTGGAGTCGTTTTCCAAAAGCACGCTGACCACCTTGTCGTGACCTTGCTGCATCGCCACAGCAAGAGGTGTAAAGCCATCCTAAGAAAGTACCAGAATTATTTTATTCACGCGTCCTAATTAATTTTGTATTTAAGGAATCGGACTTTTTTTATAATTTGTTATATATAATCATATATCAGAATTTTGTATACAATCATGTGCAATCTCTGGAAATAAGATTTGAACTTGTTGAAATTACGATGTAATTTAAAACTGATTAAATTACTAAATAATTTTTTTTTTTACATAAGAAAATAGAGATCCAGCTCTCTCTTACCTCAGTCGCGAGACTTTGATTGGCTCCATTGTTGAGCAGAAGCTTGACGACCTGGTCGTGATTCTCCTGTGCAGCCATGTACAAAGGAGTGAATCCATTTTGCGACTGGATGTTGACCGCGGCACCGTATTGAATAAGTATATTGACTATTTCGGACTGGCCAGCTGAATAGGTAATATAACCGAAATTATATGAGAATTTCACGACTCGCGTTCTACATGAATTATTTACCTAACGAAGCTATGTGCAGAGCGGTATTTCCCTTTTTCGTTGCCGCGTCCACCTTCGCACCCCTCTTTAATAATTCGGTTACTATCTCGACGTGGCCATCTTTCGAAGCTAAATGCAAGGCATTTAAACCGTTCTGCGAATAAAACGCAAGTATTAAAACATTACCATATAATAAAAAGATATACAATTATTTAAATAAAATTTATACAAATAAAGTAAACAAAAAATTAAAGTAAAATAGGAACAAAACACCTGAGATCGGATCTTTAAAATTTTAAATTAAAATAAAATTTAAATTAAGTAATCAGAACTTTATAATTTTCACGTTTTAAAATTTATCAATTACTGCTGGTTATTGAAAATTATATGCATATAATATTTAGAAAATTTAAAATGCGCTCACCGAATTAGCTGTATTAATATCTAAATCGGTATCGAGAAATTCGACCACTCTTTCAAGGTTGCCGGATCGGGCAGCGCGGAGAAATGCGGTTGTATCATCAGCCTGGAAATGCAAACATTTTACTCTTTAATAAACTCTCTGTCGAGAGAAAGCACACCCAATTACGTGTTCTGTGAAAAATACAATATGGAAAACAGGTGATATAAAGATAACAAAAAAGGTAAAAGTGCGTGATATTATTTATATAGATGTGATATATAAGAGTAACCTAGTTTGCAAAACGATGATGCAACCCTGTCCTTTCTCCTTTTACCCTTGCGCACTTTAACACTTGGTGTTTATCGCGTTATTATATTTATTATTAATCCACGGTTACACGGTATATTTGTTTTCTAAAGTAATTGTTTTATATATAAGAAAAAAATCACGCGCATATGTGTGTGTTAAATATGTCTAAAATTTCATTCGTTCTTGAAGAAAAAGTTAATTTTTATTTTTATTTAATCGGAGACCAGGCTTTAATCGGCTTTCGGGAAGTCGAATCGAAAGGCAAAGACGAGGGATGAGTTGAATTGCGATTAACTTGTGATCTCCTCAGCAAACGTGACTTGTTTCCTCAAAGAAACAGAAGGACCTCGCTCCTCCCTATCCGCACCCCATTGCGATTCATCAGCAGCGATCGCGACAACTACTCCAGGGTGGTGTGACTCGCTATTGGCGCTTTAACTCCGTCATTCTGACCTTTAATCGGACCTTTAGCTGCTACCAGTTTCTGCATCGCATCCCAATTTTCTGTCGCATTCCTTTGACATCGATATGCGCCGCATTTGCCGGCTGTGCGCGCCTAAACACCCCTCCCCTCGACCATCTGGTGCATTTCGCCCTAGTGGTTCGTGGCTCGATTATTCCGTACCCTATCGCGCCGATTGGGACCGGTTGTACCAGTTATATCAATTTTCACGAGAGTTTAAATTCCCCGTACGTATCTCCTCTACGATGACGAAGATTCAACACAATCGTCAGAGATGCATTTAATCGCGTCACGCGCACCGGAAATCGTACCCGCGATCTCGACAATCATAATCTCATAATCATCATTGCTCGCTCGTGAATCATCGCGAAGCTTGCGATTGATTTTAGAGCTCGAAATATCCTCGTCTCCTTCGATCGGTCAATTCGGAGAGGGCGAGAAAGAGGGTGCGAGAGGCATGAACGGAACAGAAAGAGAGAGAGAAACGAGGGGAGAGAAGGAGAGAGAGAGAGAGAGAGAGAGAGGGGCGAGTGCCGGCTTCGAATTAGCTTCTAGAGGCCCTACCTGGCTCGTGCTGTCGGTGACCATCGTGATCGAGGACTGTGGTTTCCAGGGGGAAAACGGTTCTCCGAGACCCTGCTCCGGGATCCGCGGACACGAGAGCCTCCCTTAACGCGCGGCCACGCGCGTCACACCACCATTTGTGCACACCGCAAGTGTTCGCCGGGGGTGCGCACGGACGTAACGCCAGGACGATAGGAGCCGCCCTGCACGAAACACGCGAACCGCGCAGAATCGAGCGACAACGATCTCGCATATAGAGGGAACACCACTCGGGGGCTACGGCTCGTGTCAGGAAGAGGGATGGGGGTTGCCGGTTTCTCTCGCACCCCCCCTCATCCCCCGCCTCCCGTTCTCATTCCTCCCTGGCACATTGCATTATCGCCCCTTTTTTTAGAGGTACAAATTTTCTTTTTGCCCTCTACCCCTTTTTGCTTATCTTTTTTCAAACTTTGCCGGACCGGAACCTTGAATTGCCTGAATATATAGGATGCATATATTATTGCGTTCTATGGATGTATGATATATATATTGTAAAAAAATAATATACCGCATTGAAATATAATTATGGTGAGAAAGTAGAGTATATAATACACAAGAGTGTGCAAGATTTTCTCCCCTTCTTCTGTTGATGGATTATTTTTACAATATTAATGTATTAATATTATTAATAGATTTTGCCCTCTTTTTTACAAAGATTTCGAGATATATCTTGTTCGATGATTTCGAAGATTTTATTGAATATTTATTCCAACGTTTAGAAACTCTAGTCACTAATTGAATAACGTATCTTTAAAATCAAAGATATATTCCTGAAGATATCGAATTGACATGAAAGTATGTCAATAAAGGGGAGCAATAAAAAAATATTTATTTTGAGAGAGATACTTCGTGAAGAAACTTTAATAGAAAGCAAACTTAAATGAAAATAAACTCAAATATCGGAAGGGTAGAGTATGCGAGCATCCTTGATCCTCTCGTTTTTAGGGGCTTCTGTTACTGTCGCGAAACGCGATAAGCCTATCCCTTCATCCCTCCTCGCTGCATCAAAATCCTTTACCTCTGATCTCGCATATGGGACGATTTATAGAGGCGCTATAAAGGTGCGGTGCGTATTCGCCCTAAGATTGTCGCCGTCGGGGTGAGATTACCGACAGGATAGGTTCGAAACATCCCTTATACGAGAGAGAGATTGCACGTCCAACGCGCCTGCTCGCAAGACACGAGGGGTTGTAGGCGACGCATTTCGCTCTCGAACAAAACCTATGCCTGGAGCTATCCTCTTTTCGATCAGCGAATATAAAGACCGCTGACCGCAAAGATTTGCTCCTGCCAAATATTTTTTCAAGCCGTACAAGATCGATATGGATATGTATATAATGCGACAAAATGTATGAACTTTTTCAAAAAAAGTTTAAAAAACAGGAACCTTATATTTGAAATAGAGATGAAAACCACGATAATAATTTCGAGATAAAAATGATAGATAATAAAATAATTATAATTAAATATAATTTAATAAATATAACTTAAGATAAGAGAGATTTATAATCAAGATTTTTTTATATTTATGTAATGTATAGTTTTCTTTCAATTGTATCTTTTATTCGTGAACATTTAACTTTCTTCTTGTTAAATTTCATACAAATCGATTATATATTATATATTCTATCTGAATATATATTATATATTCAGATTTATGTTAAAAAGATTTATGGATCATAAAGTCTCTGAGAATTTTAGGAGGGAGAGATTAATATCTCGAAGCTGGCAACTCTAATTCAATTTTGATGATAAATTTGAAGATTTATTCCACTTGCTGTAGACTGATATATCTCTCGACTCTTAATTAATTTAATTCAAAATTTGCGATGCTAATGCAGATTTAATAATCTAATTAATTATTACGTATAATATAAAAATATTTAAAAACCAGTATATGGAAATGACACATTGCGTTTCGTGTTAAATATGGATCAGCGCAGATCTCGGCCAATCGATCGATTGAGCCAATTAATCTGAGATAACGATTATATCATGCCGATATGTCTCGCCGATTATATCTACTCGAACGCTATTTATGCGATTTTAGAGAAAATAATCGCAACTCTTGGATCAACATCCTAAATCGCGCCTTAGGAGAAATGGGCGGCCTGCACATTGCGATCAATAAAATCTTTACACAACGGCAAGAACGACGTTAAGCATGTATGCGTGTCACTTCGTCGCATACATCCCTCGATACAACCTTGCACTCGCGTGACTTCATCCAAGGTCGCGACCCCTTCGCGACTTCAGCTGCTTTTATCGTACCCTTAATTCTCTTGCGCACCAATCGGCTGTGAGATTTTACGGGGAGCTCTACTATCTTGCTTCTGTCCAATAATTTATTATCTGTGCAACGTTATCGATATGCAACATATGTTTAATCGAGTTGCATCAAAATTATAGACGAGATTAAAATTCATTTTCCAAATCCATGATCAACACATACACATTGTATGCATAATAAAAAATGTATTATTTATAACATATAATGTTAATCTTATCGTGACATGCTGCCGCTTGATTAAAAATTATCATTGATAATGAATATCTCTAAATTTTTTTTCAAATATCGAGGAATAATAAACATTAAAGAATAATTATAATTATTAATGAATGATTTGGTGAAGTATGGAACGGAGAAAACATCGATTAATTATTTGACAATTATTTTATCGAGGTAATAACATTTTGGAATAGTGTAACCAATTTTTCTAAAAATAATATCGAGCTATCGCTCATTGGACCGTGTCCAATAATCACTGTAAGCGTTTGCAAGAAGCGAGATGTATCAGCTGATTCAATATTAAATATATCTAATACTTTACGCTGTTAATTTAAATGTATATGTATATATCATACCTTTAGACAGATATATCATTTAATTATACTAAAATTTACGACTGATGCTGTTAATAGTGTTATATTTGGGTTACATTTATTCAAATATATCATTGTAATTGTATGAACTGACATGATTCGCTCAATTGTTTATAACATTAACATAATAATGTTCAGAAATCTTGCGGTTATAGGGAATTATCGTGAAACGCTCGATTTTATTCTGTGTAGAAAAAAGGGGGGGAGGAGAACAGAAGGAAATTTAATACAGGAATCCGTCTCACGTTCTGTGAGAACGACCCAAATATTAGGGAGGCACGCGTTTTTACCTGGAGCCTAATAATCGGCGGGAATGCGTCCTCTTCCGTCATTACTAAATAATAAACTGTACTCTCTTTGATAAGCTCTACACGCACGCTCTGTAAGCACCATGCTGAAGACGTAGACTGGCGGATATTAATAGAGTCCTATGTTATTTTTGTTAAACTCCTATATGATGTGCCTTTGTTAGCAATCTTGCTAAATTTTATATTAATATTTAAAGCCAATACATTTGTTCACACTTACGAATGTAATTTTTATTTTAGGATTGAAAAATATTTTTTTTCTCTACTACATATCACTGATTATTATTTAATATAAAATTAATGATTTAAAAAGTATATCATCGATTTGATAATTTTGTCTGTAAATAGAGATTTATTATACGATTGGCTGAGATTTTAATTTTTATACAAGACGTTACAAAACAAATTTTTGATAAAAAAGTTTCATTTGAATCTTTAAAAATTAATTCCACCAGAAACTGATTGAAAAACTCGAGGTAAGAGCGGTCACGTGATGCCACCACTTTGGTGGAATATATAGCATTTCTCCAGGTTTTAAATAAAACGTCATACTATCAGCTTTTCGAAAATTTGGCCACTTGTCATAATCTGGTCTCACTGGATCTACTTGCGCAGTATTGTTAAGTAACTTGGTATCATAGGGATACAGATTATCTGTCTCGGTTGGAGAATATAAGATAACTCTTTTGTAACCAAATATCTGAGAAAAATAATGATTAATTATTATATGTGAAATATATCTTAAATACAAAACTGATAGAAAAAAGTCACTCAGTATGTAATTTGAATAATTTTAATTGCAAGTATCTTTTTACCTGAGAGAGCAGATTATTTTTCGGATCAAAGTGCAAAGGAGACACTGTACCAGCAGGTCCAAACCAGGCATTTACATCAACTTCTGATGATTCCACATCTTTCTCTTCACTATCCGAAAAACAACAATATTCTGGCACTTCAAAATCTTCTTTTAATTCTGGAATCTAAGATTGATTTTCGAGATTATAATTTTATGGCAAGATTGTGTATTAAAGACATCTGTAAACTGTAATATTACCTGTTCAAACAATTGATGCTGAGCTAAATAACCGATTTCGCTATTACTTGCGATAACATGCTTTTGTAAAAATTCAGAGAAATTAACAAGATGTTGAGTCCAATCCTCCTCAGTATAAGAAGATCCAATTTCGATTGGTACTGTCCGAGACCCTGCAATCTTATTCAGATAATTAGGGTTTTTCCATAATGTTAGTGCTTTCCAGTGACTCATGCAATCTATAATAAAATATATAAAATTAATATTTTTAATATATTTTCTTTTGACATTATGAGATAAACTGCTACATATATTATTTATATTATTCACAAATATAATTCACTTTTCTTATAACAATATAATATAAATTACAATATAAAACAAAATTTATTATTGTCTTGACGACAGCTAAGCTTATAATTTATATTAATTACAAATTAAACCTGTTAATATGGCCGGCAGTTTGGGCACAAAAATTTTATTGTAAAATGTCTGCATTGAAGGTCTTTCAAAATGTCTTTCTGGATAGTTAGAGATTAAATCACTATCCTCCTTGTAATTGATTAAAATTTCTTCTAGATTTATCTTAGCGCCAGAATCTTCTATCAAAATTTTAAAAAATAAATAAATTCATTTAAAAATAGATTAATGTAATCTTTTTTTATTAGTATAAATTATCTCTCTCTTGAAGATATTCTTACCAGTGCAATAGCTGTTTAGTTTTGTAGCAATAGTTGTCAATAAATTTGGTACGCTAGGAAGAGGTGCACCTAGCAGAATGCCTTTATCAATTTGATTAATAATGTTCCGTAATACAGTCTTTTTCTTTTCTTCTTTATCATTAAAGCTTTCAGCATTAATTTCATACTGAAGTTCTAGTAATATTGCCTAAATATATCAATCAGCCCAAAAGAAATTTTTACAAATCAGTACAAATATTTGACAAAAGATATATAGTTATTTTAAAGCCAATAATATATGTTTTATACCTTTATAGCAACGCACAGAGAATAACAATATCTATATCCTATTGGAACATCTTTCCAATAACCCGAATTTAATATCTCCCACGTGCGATCTAAACAAGCTTCCACTCTTGTTATCGAGTTGTTTATCCATGCTTCTGAAGTTCTTGAGAAAAACAAATCTTTAAATATATTGAATATTCAATTATATTATTAAATTATATTGTTTAAAATAATCAATATAAAATATATAATTTTTGAAAATCTATGAAATTCTTTCAATTAAATAAGAGAGATATGCTTATTTATATTTCAAATTAATTTATTTGTTAAAATAAATATTTAATTTCTTATTAAAAATTTACTTATTAAAATAAACATTTACTTTTTGTATGTGAGATAATATTGCCAATTAGATTTTATTTACATTTGTTCATTAGATGTATGTAGCATATTTATTATGGGCGTCAAATGTAGTTTTATTTCCACAGGTATATGTTCCAATTCTTTTGCTAACAATTCCCAGGGTACTGTTACCATAGAAGTACTGCGAATCATTTTCTATAAATCACACATACATATATTTCTCAAGTAATCATAAATATTATTATAATTTAGACAAAAAAAGAAAGCCTACTTATAAAAGGACACTTCTGCTATACATGGGTTTACTTAAGTATGCCCATTGTACAATGACATGATCAGCTAAATAATACAAGATCTTCCCTGTCAAGGAGAAACTTTTGACTCTGCAGAAACTTTCTATAAATACAATAACGTTCTGTGTGATACATAATGCTCTAAATAAAAATGCTATGATGCACAATGGGACACAAGTGCCAGGACCATTGCATAAAATGAGCCCTGGATTTTCCCTCCACAAAATTGGAAGACAATTCAAAGTGGCAAACACAGTGGTCCAAATTGACGTAAGGTACGACTGTCGAACTTCCCGGCTTCTGTAAATCTCTACAACTTTGTAATCCTCATTGCCATCTTCCAGATCCCTGACCTTCTCCGCACTGAGCTTATCAGTCTGAGCACGAATGTACACCCTGGGCGAATAATTCTCCAGGTTCAAATGCTTCACGACCCGCAGCATCTCGGCTGTGTGTCCACCGGATCCTAATATTATCATCGTCTTAACCGGACGGGACTCTCCTCTGGGCTCATCGCGTTTCACAAGAATCAGATAACATATCCTGGCAAGTAGGCAACAAACAAACGCGACAGGGAAGAGGACGAGATACCTCAAGCACATCTCGCTTTATCACGCACCTGAAAAGAGTATCATCGAGTGAAATATGTGTAACAAGTTGCGTTGTCCATACCAGATATGTCAAGAAAAATTCTCACTGATTCCACGAGCCACGGAGGTTAAATTAAATCAACAATCAGTGAACTTATAACATCCCGAGACGCTTTATTACATCGCATTCGACGCGCATGCGCGGAAAAGGGGGCCATCTGTCATCGCCAATAACCTGCTAGTGCCAATAGTCAATAGCCAATCACGATCGAGCGCTGTTCGCGATTGGCTGTCGCCGAAAACTCGATCGAATTTCCCATCTGAACGAATTCTAGTTTGTGTCCGGCAAGCTTCATGCCCCCCACACGTACGGACGCCATTTTTATTTATGTGGGGAGCTCGGTGGGGTTGATACGAAGTGCGAAGAAATTTCTAACGTTTATACGAACGAGATTTACGATAGTTCGAGGATTGACCAGAGGGATATGTCGCCTCGAGATGTGCAAATGATGCGGGTCATTGTTACGTTTACACGTGAGATCTTTGCGTGAGTGACTGTCCATTCCATCGGATGGTGATCGTCGTGAGCGCAATTCTCCACCTTTCCCAGCGCTCCTGTTAATAAAATGGATCATCGCCAAAAGGTGAGTCGCGAAAGTACTGTGTCTCTTAACGTATTTTCCGCTCCCCGATGAAAAAAACTATGATTTAAAAGAGATTGGGAAAAGATGCGCTTCTCTTTAACAACCTCAAAAAAATTTGCCCGCAAAAAATGTAAATTGATTTGTTACCCTCGAGAAGACACTCTGGCTATTCTGATAAAAATGTGTCTATTTGTAGCTTCCGCAAAAACTATAGTTGTCGATACGTGTCGCAAAAAAACTAAACCTCGATTTTATTCTTCATTCTTGTATCTATTCTGCTGTAAGATATGTCTTGCATAGAAAATTTCATCTATTGTTGATACTTTATTAGATGGTTGTGGTTCCTCAACAATCGAAAATTAAAATCGAGGACGACGACGACGAGGATGTGGAAGCATTGAGATTGGCAGCGCTTAAGTCACTGCGACCTAAGGATGCCACGCATAAGAGGTCAGCGATATTACAGGTGCAGAAAGTTTTCCCGCAAGTAACGCAACCATCTCGTCTCCCATATAAGGATCAACGGCCTATGAAAAGAAGTTTCTATCATAACAGGTCGCAGCCAAGACAAAATGGGGTGAGCTTTTAATTTGTACATGTTTGAGTAACTTTAGTAGCAATTTTATGAAAAATTAAAATTGTACTTTTTGTTTTATAATATTGAAGATATGTTTGAATAAATAGTATAAATTTCAAGATATATGTTGAACAAAATTTATATTTTAATTTATATTTTAATTTATAAATGATTAAGACGAAAATTCAACAATAATAACAGTACAATACTGCTCGTGTGTTGCAAAAGAATAATAAAAATTCTAGGGCCAATAATACGAGCTAATTACTAAGGTCTAAATAAAATAATATAAATGATTAATTCTCAATATATTTATATATTTGTAATTTATGTTTGCAGAATGTGTATTATCAGAGCCCTCGTAATCCGAATCTAATAGCGATAGTTCCTATAGACGAACCTTCTCCAATTCAGCAGGCTCAGCTACCTCCTGTAGAAAAGACTGAACCCAGTGTAAAATCACATCCACAAGGTAGGTCTATTATATTTTTACATAATTAATATTGATTATGCAGGATTAGTACTGATAATTGCATTTTTTCTTCAAAGATTAAGTAATTAAAACTAATCATGCAATTTCAGAAATATCGAAATTCCATCGTTTTAAAGACAGTGGAAGTGCTTCAGAAGAAGAAGATGCAAAGGAGCAAAAAAGTAATATAACTTCTGTACAGACAGAAATAATAAAAAAGGAACCAGAAGAATCTTTGGAAATAGAAAGTCAGGAGGAAACTACAGAGAGTTCTCAAAAAAATGGAGATAACCAAGAAGATGAAGGTAACGATGACGATGATGATGTACTCTTAATGGCCGATCTCGAGGAAGAAGACAGTTTAGAACGTTTAATGGATGAGATGGAGAGAGAAATGAATGATGGAAATAAGCCGTCTGAAAAGAAAGACAAAAAATTGAATAAAAGCGAAACTAAGAATGTAACGAAAGGTGACGAAGGAAACAAAAATTCTGATCCAAAAATGAAATCGGACGAAAATTGCAGCAAGAAGGAGAGAAACAACACGGTTACCTCGTCTCTGGCTGCAGTCGTCAAGAATGATAGACGATCGGTTTCTCCGCACATAACGAACCGGGTAGGTCAGAAACGCAAGTCACTATCCCCAAGGTCACGATCACGAAAGAAATCACCAAGGAGATCTCCCAGAAAATCTCCGATTAGACAGCCAAAAAGATCTCCGAGGGAATCGATAAGGTATAGATCACCTCGCAGATCTCCATCTTCGCGATATTCTCCTAGATCCAAATCACCCAGACTCTCGCCGCGCAGATCTCCAAACAGAACGACCACGAAGAGATCGCCGCTGAGAAAATTATCCCCAAGAGGCAGGTCACCCAAACTTTCATCACGCTCCAGATCGCCCCGGCCACACAGATCGAGATCGCCGAGACGATCGCCTCGATCGAAGTCTCCCAGACCTCATTCTCCCAAAATATCACGCTCTAGATCACCGAGATTATCAAGATCGAGATCACCGCGTTTCTCGCCACCGCTCAGATCATCCAGATCTCCCAGATTATCGCCAAGAAGAGTATCGCCTCGTCGATTACGATCTAGATCCAGATCTCCCGGTTTGTCTTCTCCTCGAAGGGGATCGCCTCGTTTGCGATCGCCTCGCTTACGATCCCCAAATTTGTCACCACGTAGAACACCACCGCGCCTGAGATCGCCACGACCTTCGCCTCGCAGATCACCATGGTCGTCCCCGAGACATTCACCCCGTCTTTCACCGCGACGGAGACGCTCTCCCAAAGAGCGGTGGTCACCTAAAGAATTACCCAGGAAGCATGGACCACGTTCCATCACTCCGGACATCAATCGAGACGAGTATGCGAGAGATCCGTCTCCGGTTTTCAAGAATGCGGTATCACCAGAAATACCCAGAATGAGAGCAAAACAAAAGGATGACGCGTATGAAAGGCCAGAAACAATAAAGGAATCCGTTGATACCATCAGTGATCCTGTACTCGAAGCAAGAAGAAAAAAGTTTGAATCTACGCGGCCTATCGATCCTGTAAATGCCAATAAAAAGATTAAATTATCCAAGAAACATACCACGAATACGAAAGTGGATTCCTCGGAAGGAACGGAGGTTCCATTAAGAAAAACGAATAAAGCTTTAGAGGAGTTTGAGGTTCAAGAGGTGGATTTATGTTTGCCAGCAGCAGGTTATGAGTTTGAAGAATTTGAAGAAACGGTAGAGAATACGTCTCCGACAATTATTACAAGCTCTGTAAATACATGCATAGACGTAGAGCCACAAAAGATGGAGAAAGAAAAGTCTTTGAAGAAAAAGAAGAAGCGCGATAAGGAGTTGTATCAAGTGGGAAAACTAAAAAATGAACTGCCGCTTTCTGAACGTATCGGAAAAGATAAGAAGTGTAAGAAACGTAAGGAGATAGTCTCCGAGGAGAGCATGGAGAGCACTGTATTCGAAGATATAGCAGATGAAGAAGGAGATTTACGAACGGAACTCAGCAGGAGACGCGCGGAAAGATTGAACAGAACGGTACCGATTCAATCTGCTAGATTAGTGCAGTCAGCTTTCAAAGGCGTTGTTAATGAGTAAGTATTAGATATTATGTGATATTCTTATTTTGTGTTTTCTTTTGACAGTGTACTTATTGCATTTCGCGTTTCTTTGCAGGGTTGTGAAAAATAATGCGAAAGCTAATCAGAGACATGTCCTTAACACTGATGAAAAATGTAAGTAATAATAATATTTATTCAACTGTTCAATATCTCTGTATCTCATATTTCGGTTAACTTTTTTTTTTGATTATACGAATCACTTTTAATAACAAATGTTTCTCTTTTCACAGCTAATCAAAAGGAAGTTAGACGGGTTACTGTGCTACACAGATCGTTAACAGAATTACACAATTCTGAAGGTATTTATATCTTGTAATATATTTCAAAGTTTTATAGAGTAAATATTTTTAAGCTTTCACTTATAATATTCGTTAATATTTGATTACTTATTGAAAAAATTACGGAATATTTAATTTAAAAAAATGATATATAGTTATTATATTATTTTATTACAATTATTATTTTTCACATTTCTAAAGAAAATATTTTATTGTTACAAAAATATCATTAAATGTGAAATTTCTTGACTAAATCTAGTTTTGTTGTTATTTTTCATTTACAGATGAAAGTACTCTTGATTCGAAAGTACCTGTGCGTTTCAGACTGGGGCTCAACAAACAAGTGCAAGAGTCCAGAGAATCCAAGGTTACTCGAAAAACATCCAAAAGACAGGGTCGTAAGGTAAAGCACAAAAATCATTTGTCTTTAAAAGATCCTGAGCATATTTCGTAGTGCATAAATTATACCTTTATCTACTCTAGATTTGTAAGTAGTATGGTAACCTCTTATCAACACGGTTTAATCAATATTTTGTGATACTACCAAGAGTTAAGTACATGTAAAGAAAAAGATACATTTTGAAACATATTCATACTTTTATTGATTACAATGGAATGAGGGCAGATAAAAAAACAGCAAATAACAAAAATTAAATTATTACGCTCTATGTATAATATTTGCATATAATTTCGCAAATTAAAATTATACAATCCAATAATTTGAATAACGATCAATTATGTGTTAACTTAATAAAATCAATTCTTTGAATATGACTAAGGAAAAATATTTTAATAGATATTATTTTTTATTTACTATTTAGAGGGGATGATTTTTTTCATTAGAAATTATTTTAAGTAAATAATTACACACAAAAATATTTCATTAAGTAAACTAAGTTATATAAAATTATTTATGTGAAACGCAGTGTGAAACAATATTGTGTGCCTTTTAATAACATATAGCTAGAAGATAATATAAATGTCGCGAGATAATTTTGCGTTATTTAATTTTGTTGAAAAAATGGAGATGTTTTCGTGAAATAGAAATAACAATGAAATAATGCTACATATTGAAAAAAAAAGGAAACGAGCAATTGTGTATAGAATATTTTGCAGAAATTGTTTGCAATTTAGTATTGCGTAATTCTAGACTCGAGACCAGTAGAAAATAAGAGTGATCTGTTTTTTGTTTAGGAATAAAATAAATCCGCGTTCACCCGATTGCATATTTGTATGAAGAGAGAATAGCGGTTCATCTCTTACTGCTCATTATGTTGTCGACACATAGGAAGATGCGCTCATTAACGGTTATATTATATCATATAAAAAGCATCTCTTTTCTCTTTTCAAGCATAAAGTACAATAATATTAATAATACTTGAAGATAATATCTAAATTTTTCGATATTTTACGATTTAAATGTATTCGATTGTTTATCGTTTGCTTAGGAAAAGTTGATTACGTGTGATTATATTAAATCATTTGTTGTATTAAAGATTATGTATATAACTTACTTTGCTCGCTCACCTAATAAACAAGAATCATTAATATAATCCCAAAGCTACCTATTGCAAAACCTAAGTATATTTTATATGAGAACTAGTAATGTGTAGGCACATATCTTAATTGTATTAATACCGATCAAATTTAATAAGAATGTTGTAGTATAGCTTGTAAATTCGGTTAACGATGTGTCGCGGCACCAAATGTCCTGTACAAATCATAATAGCGATCCAATAACAATGCAATTTTTGTTAAAATTTATTTTTAACGTCGCTAAACGACATATTTTTAAGCAGAATGCAAATTCCTTAAGATCTAATTGACAATGTTTTATAAATTGATATATATATATATATATATATATATATATATATATATATATTTAACGCTCATTTTACAGTTAAGAAATTACAATTAGTATATTAAAGTAACAATGTGTAGAAGAGAAAAGAATAACTGTTCTCCATACATTTTAAAAAATACGCTGATAAAATATAACGGCATTTACACGTGTAGCTTACTATTCTTCAAAATTGTATAAAAATGTATATGTTAATTTTATGTGTTTTCGGCGGTAGATATTAATGCATATAATTTATTGTTATATATTTTTACTGCACTTTCCGTGGAAAGTACAATTATATCCTGTTTAATGTATTTTGATATAATTGTATTTAATTTTAATGATCGCGGAGTGACATGTATCTCGTCACTCTTTTAATTATATATTTCCATATATTGACAATTAGGATATATAACATGCATCTCTCGGTACAGCGTATGTGTAACTAATATGCGTGAACATTTTTTAGGCTGTTGTGCAGCTATGTACATAAATTCAATCTCTACTTCGTATACCAAGCTAAATACCTCATAGTATCTATGAAGGTGTAAACGCTACTTTTACGTCAATAAAAACTGATATTCCATTTTAGAGAAATTTTCTTCCATAAAATTGTTACTACGAGGACCATAATAGGAGAAACTCTTATTTATATTTATATATATAATATTAAATATAATATATATACATATATATATGTATATATGTGCTATAAAGGTGATGTTATTAATAGCTACATGCGTGCCTTTCTTTATGTTTAATTAAAAAACGTGCGTGTAAATAGACTCGTTTTTTTTTTCATTACGCTTAAATAGTGAAACGCATTTTCGCGCTGGCCGAAACGAAACTTTTTTATCATTGCCGTTTTATTTACATATGGTACGTGTGTATTTGTGACGTTAACTTTAAGAGTTGCATAATAGATACCTTGTAGTTATAGAAATATAATGAGACTGAGAAAGAAATTACGAGCCTTAACCAGTGCATAAATATAATGTGATATTTGGAGGGATTTTTACACTTTCCCTTAGATGCGTTTTCACTATCTTAGAATAACACAGATTGCGTAATAATCTTTAACATTTAAAGATTATATTATATATGTATTGAATATATTTAAAATATGATGTAAAACTTCATTATTTATTAGTTCTAAATATTGTACATCATAAAATATTTTATTATTGTATAAAATTGTATTATTGTAAAATTTAATTTGTGTATAATTTATACAATCTATAATTTTAAGTTAATTTTATTTTATTTTACAATTATTGCGTGTCAAACACAATTGCAATTTTTAAAAATTCAACATAAAGAATCTGAAAAAAATACTTTATATTAAACTTACTTTATATTAATACTTTATAGTAAACGGCAATTATATTTTTTCGAACTAACTCGATTTAATATTTCTGTGTTATTCTACGATAGAACCGCGATTAAATCGCGGATTTCTGTGACCGTTACTGATTATTTAATTTATTAACTTAATTTTTGTCATAGTGGTAAATATATAGATGGGAATAATTCGTTGACAAAATTTTTTGGTATAATCTTTTGATTAAATCATAATTTAATAACACAATTCGTGTATATTTATTGATAAATATCTCTTGCTTTTTTACATTATGAGTATCAATTGTAATGATAAATAATAATTATAAAAATTTAAAATTTTGTGTGTATGAAATTATTGATTTCGTGTCTATAGAATTTTGGGGGATGATTTCTTATTTTACAGATTAATTTTATATATTATTTATTTTTCCGCGCATAAAGAGAGAAAGAGAGAGAGAGAAAGAGAGTGTGTGTGTATTTGTATATTATATTTATTATTGTAAACATTCAACCATCTGTAATTTACCACGCGAACGCATATCACACAATATGTATGACTTTATCTATTTGTATATCTGTATATTTGTACTTATACCTTCTGACAAAAAGAGGAAACAGCGCGAGATTATCGCATACTTCCTACTCAGATGTAGTGACGCTTAAAGCAATAACGAAGTAAGATGAGTGAGACGTATCACTTCGTACGTCGTTTTAGAATTAATTGAATCTTTTATTTCAGAAAAAAAAGATACAGAGAATAAAAAGATATTTTTTCAGCTACTCATCAACGATTTTCTCTTTCTACACCTCGAATCTCTTGCATTCGTAAGGATTGACATTTTCTCCCCTTTGTCCCTTTCGTGAGTCCTTTGCGATATCATGCGACATTAATAAACGGTACCGCATTTTATGAATATGTATAAGAAAAAGCTCTCTTTTTCAAGTCTGTATCACGCAAAATCAAATTGTTGAAACTATAAAAGCCTTAAGCGACTCATGAGGAGACTTGGAACACAATGGGAGCGAAGGGTGAACTTTGCATCAATTACACGATCGATATGCTGTTCGTGTTACTTCGACTTTGAATTATTGTAAATATAAGCGGATACGAGGCTCTTTTTACACATGAGAATGAGAAACTGAAATAATAATATTGTTACATTTAATTTTAAAGGCTGCAATAATATGCCACATATTTATTATTTCATTTAATGATACTTTCAAGACGGCCAGTACTTTCTGTAATTACTATTTCTTTTCTTGATTAAAATCTTTATTTGGATATTATTTAAAGCAATCTTTATTATTGTTTTTATATTATTTTGATAGGAAATTATAAAGGATATAATTAAGTGTTATTTCATTTTATAATACGTTAAAAATTTGAATACTATTTATTACGAACCCCTTATGTAAAGTTTTGATTATTTCGATAAAAGGTTCGTTCAATATTTTTTTAGAATTATAAAAAAGTTATAAAAAATGTTAGTGTTGATTTAATTGATACAAAATATACGAAAATACGTTCTCATCAAAAAACGTGTTTCAAATATATTACAAATGTATATATCTGTCTCTATCTATATATTTTTGATTGTATTTAATGTTTTAACAAAATATTAAATATGAAGTATATATTTTTGATTGTAATTTTTAATGATAAAAGATGAAAATAGTTATTCAGTTTTTGCAAATTTAGCATTTAACTTTTTTCTTTATAAAAATTTTAATTTTTTAAATTTTAAAGGTAACTTTTTTTTTAATAAAATGCAAACACTTTTATTTTAGAGAGTTGCACCATAAAAAATTTCTTCAAAATATTCCTTTTATTTTATTATTCCATTTAATCTTAAATAAAAATATCTGATAGAACTCGGGGAATTTTCAGGAAATTTTTTACAAACTTCGAATATACAGATACCCTATAAATGATGTTTGTTTGACTTGGTATTTGGGGATACTTTTGTATATTGCGTTGTACTCTCCGAGGAGGGTTGTAAATCGGAGCAGCGGGGGTAGTTGCAGGTTGTGCAGGCGCAGACGCGAGTGGTCTGGTGAACGAACGGGTACTTCGCTCAGCAATCAATGGCATAGCAGAGTTGCTCGAGGCACCGTCCCCGGTCACAATTGGTGCGATACCCGTAGAAGCCACCCTTCCTCTCCTGCGCTATCCGCGAAGATCGGATCCCCCGAAATAAGATCGCGTGCGAAATAAACTGGTGATCGATCACGCGTTCCTGACGATGACAGATCGTGCCGTTGATTAATTATCGCGAGCCTTCGCGATAATCAGGTAATCGTTGGATTGTAAGCGAAAGTAGGTGATGCCCTAGAGTGAGCCCGCGATCCCATTATTGTGACATCAATCTCGTGATAGATCATCGAACGAGAGGTCGGATCACCGGGTGGACCATGAACCATGGATACGTCGCAGGTCGAAAACGACGTGACTTCGGAGGAGAGACGTAAGGAAGGTACGCGATCTTAGGGAGAACTTGACTTATCTCGAGCTCGAGATCCGGGAGTGGGCTTCTCGCGCGGTTTCTCTCGGGGAGTTTTATGTTCTATTTGCATATCATTGTTGTCAGTTATCGCGTATAAAATTAATCGGTTTCTTCATGATATCGATTTGATAATAATTGAATTATTTTGTCTTTTACAAGTTAAAAATAGTCGCAGATTTATCAGTTTCGAAGTTTCGTTAAAATCATATATTATATTTTAAAGCTCTTATGCATTCAATCTAATAGCTTCAAAATGAAAATGTCACCTAATTAATTTAACGGTGAAAAATTAAATTAAATTTCAAACTGAGAGATATATGTTAGACCTCGAATTGTCGAAATATAATTTATTCAACAATTCCGAATGTAGATATATTTATATTCACTGAATTGCATGTCCTTATTCGAAATTAGCTCTTTTAATTTGGCTAATTTTACGCTTTTAATTGTAATGATAGAACGCACTTTAAAATTCGCACGCTTAATATCTGTAATTTTCTGTTAATTTAAAGCACTTAATGTCGCTAGCTAACGCAATTTATTTAATGCACGATTTCAGAGTTTGAAACTGTATAATTATTATATCAATTAATTATCATGTATATCTATATATTTATAAAATATATTTATGTATATAAATATATCTCAATTATTTTGAAAAACGCGCATCGTCAAATTTTAAATACATTGAAATTAATCGATCTTAATTACAAGCAATCAAATGTTCATTTAATCAGAGCACAAAACAATTAATATATATTTATTTTCCATCGAAATTACATGTCAGTTTCAATCTCGTTTAAATTCGATTTCGCAGAATATTAATTCATCTTTCGCAAAGCAGTGATTGTTAATCTCTCATCTTAGTGCACATTGTTAATTACTCTTGAATCGTGAGATGCACCTGTTAATAATTATAGTAGAAGAGAATAGAACGCTTGCGAAGGAAAAAATAGTATCCAATAAATAGCATCGCCTTGAAATAGTAGGGCATAGCATGTAGCGAAAAAAAAATGTTTATATGCGTCGTTCGCGAGCACGTCAAGAGATCAACAAGTCGTGCATTCGTAGCGAACTCGTCAAGTTGCACCAGGTGTTCCGCATGTGATGTTCCTTTCGAAGTAGCCGATGTAACGTCTCGTGTGGTGAACGTAATCTTTCTCTTTTCCTTTCTCTCTCTCTCTCTTTCTCTCTCTCTCTCTTTCTCTCTCTAATAAACATGTTTCAAAGAACGCGTTTAAGCCATGGGTAGCGGAGGGGTTGGTGAAGTTCCGACAATATTTCATCCCCGACGATCGCGTACGTCGAATATAACTCTCAGCGATGATCAACAGACTCACGGTCCCTTCATCACTCCTATCCAGGTTGCGCTTCACGCAGGTAAGTTGACAGCGCGCTTTTACATATGATGGATTGCGTCGATACCCTTAGACCGGGTGTTTCCTCTTGATCACAGATATTTTGAGGAGTAGACTAAAAAGGGCGATAACTCGTTAATAACTGCTTATTTATTCAATAAAAATTGGAAAATTTTAATTTTATCTCGATAATTGAATTTTAATTTTAACTCGATATTGGAACTTTTTCATTGGATGCTGTTATAACACATATCATTCTAATTTAAGATGATTATAAACTTATTGCTGACATTATAAAATTATAAAATATAATTATAAAATTATGTATTGACATGTGACGTCAGAAACTATAAATGATTCGTATTCCTAATCAAGTTTTCCAAAGAAACCGATTTATGATTGGAATCTGTGGTTGAAGGGAGACACAATCGGTTTCTGATTCTCGATATAATGGTCATCAATGACTCATTTCAATATCGATTGGAGAACGTAATAGATCTAGAGCCGGTGAATTTGTAGCATCTTGTGTAGCGTATTTATGAGAAACTTAGTTCCCAGAAAGCCTACATTAGCTCTTTATAGTCTTCATAGTCTTAGTAATTAATCACTAATTTCCGATGTATTAGCCTCCTTCCATTATTATACGAAGTGCCTAGTATATTTCGCGTGTAATATTTCAATTTGCTGAAGTTAGTCTGCCTCTATAAATAGTATAAAGATAAGGTGTAAAAATATCGGACATGCTTGCGAAAAATTACGCACATCATCTTAAGCTGTTAAAAGACTATGCCTACAACACATTCATACATGCAGATATATATATACACCTTTCGTACACGGCTTTATTCGGACAGGGACAGGGAGCGAATAAAAATAGATTCGATCTCGTAGCTTCTTTCATTTCCTGGAGCACAAAATCCACGATAATTTATCTATAATTATGGATGATTAATGAAAATACACGCTGAGTATCTGTGTCCAGAGTTCCTTTTGCAAGCGAACAAATTCGGGATGGAAGTATCTCTGCCGAGGGATGAAGGATCAGCTGACATCAATATATTTCAGGATGCGAGCAACAGCAGGGTTGCACCGTCGCCGATGGACGCAACGATTCTGCGTCCAGTTGTCGCACCCTGGAGACCACCGGAAGTGCCGTAGGAAGCGGCGGGGGAGGTGGTAGTGGCGGCGATAGCGGGACCGGAAGTGTGCAAGCACAATCGACAGCTCAAACTCGGTCGTCGATTCACGTAACCCCGACTCCGACCCCGGTTGTTCAACGACCGAGTTCGATTTCAGCATGTTTCGCCTCCTGCTGCGCCGAGAGCGCGAAAAAGGTCGAGTGTAACTTCATCTTGAAATTAAAATTATCGTTCAGAAGTTGCATAGTGCATAGTTGCAGCAGAAGTGTAGATCGAACAATTTAAGACAAAGTTGAGCTGTTGTGTTTAACAGATAGTTATTGAAGATCAAAACATTTAATTTAGAATTATTCTATAGCATTTTGTGTCTCTCGCAGATTAATTATACAATTTAATAAAAAAAAAATACAAGAAGGAGAATATCAATTTATAATTAAAGTTGCAAAAACAATTTTAATGTTTTATAGCTATATCATGTGTTGAGGAAGTTTTATTGCAATCAGAAAGTATTTTAAATATTGTTGTTACTTTTAGTCATTGAAAAAGGATTTGTTCCATCAATTATGATGAAGATATTTATGGTTAAATACAAGATCTATTGCAAATTAAATAAAAATTGAGGATATAGCAATTTAAATTATAAATTATATTTATTTAAAGATTTCAAAATCATTAAATATGAATTTAATGTTAAAAAATTAAATTTAAATATTAAATATTAAATATTAAATTTAAATATTAAATTTAAAATAATAGATATTAAAACTTTTAAAATCTAGATTTTTACAAAAATTTGTACACACACATATTTTGAATTTAATTTTATATAATTGTATATAATGATTTTTTTATATAATTACATAAATTTAAATTCATATATTTTAAATTTTAAATTTTGATATTTGATTCAATAATTTAAAAAAGCTTTAAATAAACATAATTAAAAACTATTTGATAGATTCTCAATGACCTAATCGCAATGATCTTTTGCAAGGTTTTTTTAAATAAATTATTTATATTTAATCACATAAATATTCTATTAACGCAATAAATTTCTTTTAAGAACTGAAAATTTTAATAAATAGATAGTTATATAATTTTGATTGTAATTAAGCTTCTTTAATAGATTCTGCATCATAGTTATAAATATGATAAAGCACATTAAAATAATAATCTTTTCTTTGCAACTTTAATCGCAAATTTCTCAAAAATGACGTGATGAGTCCAGAAATTGAGAAACTAGAATCGCACGCACGTTAGCGTGCATCAAAATACCTGTGAAAACTAACTATTCTTTTTCTTGTGTTCAAAAAAAGTTATTTTTTGTTAAACTATATTACTCTTAATTGCAGATATATTTCGGGGTGTGCGTGACGATATGCGTGACGGCGAGTTGGGTGGGGGCGACTCATTGCATCAAGTATTTGTACTTTCACAAGTCCGAGGAAATCCCGGAGACGTCCGTAAAAACGGAGACGATCGCAAATTCCACCGCGGACGACCTTCATCATCAGCATGTGAGCTTATTTATCTCTCAAAATTTCTCATTTTTCTCTCTTTTACCCTCTTCTCTAACGATGACGTATAATGATTAATTATTTCTAGATCACCCTTCCATACGACGCACCCTTCTTCACGACGTGGTTCTGCACCAATTGGGAAGTCCTGTATTTCCCGGTGTATTTCATCTGTCGGGCTACCAGAACTAAGTGCGCTACCCCTTCCGAAATAATCGTCGAGAGCCTTCGCGGCTTTCGCGATAAGGGCTTCACCGGCGGTCGCTTCTTGCTCAAGTGCAGCCTCTTCTGTTGCCTGTGGGTCATCACGAATTACTTGTATATACTCTCGTTGCGAATACTGTTAGCCACGGACGTAATGGCATTATTCGCGACCAACGTTTCGTGCGTCTATCTACTCTCATGGGTCATTCTTCACGAGCAATTTGTGGGTGTGAGGGTTAGTATTTTTAAAAAAATATCTTTTTTTTTTATTCTCTTTTGATATAGCAGAGAGAAAGAGAGACAGAAAGTGAGTTAAAAATAATTTTGTTAATATAATTTAATTAATTTAGTAGATGATTACATTTACAGTATAAGAAGAAAAAGAAAGATGTGTATTAATTATTAAATATTATAAAAATTATTTTTTATAATATTTTTTATAATATAAAGATATTTTTTGTATATAAAGAATATTAAATTTTCTTGATATAAATAAAGATAAGTTGCAAATTAAAAATTAAAAAATAACATTCTTTTACATCTGATATCATAGAGTACACTCTTCTTGAATTTTCACAACAAAAGACTTTAATTTTAAATTCTTGAACACTTGTTATTATTATTACAGATAGTCGCGGTGATCCTGTGCAATACCGGCATCGCGCTCTTAGCTTACATGGACGGCATAACCGGAAGTCCGACTCTCGGAGGTGTCGTTTTAGCTACAGCAGCGGCAGCTGGCTCTGCCGTTTACAAAGTAAGCGTTGTAATATTTATATTAATACGCAAATCATAATGATATTGAAGATCTTTAATTAAAAAACAAATTTTGTTTCCCCTTTATAGGTTCTCTTTAAGAAAGTAATAGGAGAAACTACGTTCGGCCAAATGTCTCTATTTTTCTCTCTTATCGGTTTATGCAACGCCGCCTTGTTATGGCCGATTTGTCTGGCTCTATATTTTTCCGGGGCGGAAACCATGCACTGGACAAGACTACCGTGGGCAGCGTTACTTTCCGCTAGCATCCTTCATTTAGGTCCGAACTCACATCGAGCTAAACTACTTAATACGGTAGCAATCAAAAGTGCATTATTTATAGAAACAACAGGTTGTTACTTTAATGAACACAAAAACATATATAAATATTATCAAATTATGTTTTATTCCTGTTACTTTATATATTAATAATTTTATTAACATGAACAAAACACGAGGGGAAAAAGATAAAAAATTATTCATTTATTTATATTTTCTGTATTTCTTAGATGGTGCAGTACTTTTGACTGATACCGTATATGTTAAACTCGTATATGCTTGTAATTAATATGCACTTTGATTTATTTACAGTTGCGAATATGCTCGGCAATTTCAGCATCGCCCTCACTTACGACTTGTTCATTACTCTTGGATTAATCACAGCTGTACCTGTGTCCGCTGGTACGTGTAAAACGATCAACTAGTTACTTTAAAGTATCATATTATTCGCGCAAATTAATTAAATAATGAAATTAAATCAATTTAATTAATTCGCGTAAATTAATTAAATAATGAAATTAAATCAATTTAATTAATTCGCGTAAATTAATTAAGTAATTAAATTAAATCAATTTAATTAATCGTGAATTAAAAGAAAAGGAAATGAGTTGTAACACGCTCCATAAATATGACAAAATGATAATTCTCTATTCGCATAAATTACGAAAACAACACCAATAGAGAATTACTTGTTCTTTATTTTTATTCACGTACCATTTTAATAATAATAATTATAAAATTGATGCAGCACTGGACGTTATTTTCTACGGGGCGTACTTTATGGGCATGAAATTGGCAGGCATGATCTTCATAGCGGTCGGTTTCTTCCTCGTCATGTTTCCGGATAATTGGCCCGATTACATAACGAGACTCCTCCGGTACGTTTTCCTAACTTGTATTCCACGTATAATGCGGTTCTGTGGTATGCACTTTTAATTCGGAGTTTTATTATTTTCTCTTTTAGTCTTTAGTTCTTTTAGAGAGTTCTATCCTACTTTTGTCTATCTCTTTTTCTCTTTCCCTCTCTCTCTCTCTCTCTTTCTATACATTTTCTTTACTCTTGCAACGATACGGACTGTCGTTTTTTACTTTGTTTGGCATCAGAATAGAGGCAGCGCGTAGTGTCACTCAAGTAGAGTGCTTGACATATGTATATATGTATATATATACATTTATATCATTTACGCTGCCTTAATTCTTTCGATTTTTTGAGAGCGTACAAAATATATTTTACTAACTTCTACAAGCTTTTGTAAAGTAACGCGTTTTCTAAAAAAGACCTTTACATCCTAATTTTTGCACAACGTATAATTTTAATAAAAAACAAAACACTCTCCCTCTCGCCAAAGAAAAGAGTCGCCTAATGAAACGCGAACCTTAATAAAGCGAACGAGAAGAACGATTAAGAATTCTTTTTAAGATTCACCATTTATGTATATCACTTGCGATATCGTTTTTCGTTTGAGAGATCCTACGACTTTTCGATTTGAACTTGTGTTTTTTGAAGCGCAAATTCTTCGAATTTATTTTGCGTCTCATCAGCCACTTTGCAGCTTTGCAGCCCCATGCCAGACGACATACCAGATTTATCATACGAAATATTTTGTTTCGCTGCATAGATACATCAGCCGTGCGATTTTATGCCGAGCATTGCGGTTTTCTTTCGCATTTAGAGGCAACTCGTGCACACTCGTCACGCTTAACAGAAATTAAAGACCAGCACTGATATTGTTTTGCAGGATGCCCGGAATATGCGACAGGTTTAAAGTATATATTTAAATGAGCATATTTTTTTTTAAATATATAGCGTAGCGCGCACACATATACGAGTGATAATGTAACCGGGACAATTTTCGCTTACATCAGTGATATATTTAGATACAGCGTGAAATATTAATCTACGAGAGCCAAACTACTTTTCGTTTAGTTCTTCTCCTATTTAATATTTTCTAGATTACGTTTCAAGAACAGTGTATCTCCGATGCGTATAAATAATTAATTAAAATAAGTCTCTTGCATTTGCCATTTTTTATATAATTTTGCAAACAGTTAGCACAGGGTTGAAAAGTACAAAAGTATTGTTCATGTATTATTTAAAGATTTAAATTCATCAGGAAACTTAGTTGAAATTGTTAGAATTTACCTGGAAAGTGACACGTAAAATTTTTCAATTTTTTATTACCTATTCGTGCCTTATAATTTATCTAAATATTGATTTTTTTATTCTTGTTTAGGAAATCTCATACAAAAATGATTGCTATTTATGAAACTTGTCCATCAGATTTTTAACATTACTCGATTTTTAGAACTTGAATTGTTTAGATAAAAAGAAACTGAGAAAATAAATGATTAAATTGCTTAAGCTGCTTGTTGTCTGTGAAATCAATGTCGACATTTCATCACTCGCTTCCCAACAATCAGGATCCATTATATGCTGTTACAGAAACGTAGTCCTCATGAGTCACAGTGCAAGGTAAGAAAATACATTTCATACGTCTTGCTCTGGTCCTACCGAAAATTCATCCTCTCTTTCAATAATGAAACGCTGTTCATTCATAAATATAATAAAATTGTGGCAAAATAAGCTTCTCGAATAATCACATATAAGAAATAATTTGATTCAAAAATTGAAATATTTGGGGAGATCACACTTAATATACGACACTTTAAAATATTTAAATTTATAGATATATATTATAATATTTCTTTTAAATAATTAACACATATAAACTGGCAAGAAGATTGTTTTCGAATTACAAAATCGTAATTTTTCACTGTATTATATCGGATAAATAATAAAGTGTATAAATTAATAATTAATTTATTTTCCGATGAATTTTCCGTAAAAGAGCAAGCGGTATAAGTGTCAGTAGGCGCATGATTTATAACATTCTTTCGATTTTCTCCATTTTGCATGCACACGTGTGAGCTTGGCTTACTTTTCATTGGCTTGCTTTTCTCTTTTCTAACGCAAAACGCATGCCTCTTCTTCACACTTTTTTTCCTCCCAATTTTTCATTCTTTCATTTGCTTCTTCTGATCATTCTTTTATTTTTGCATTCAATGTTTCTGTATGCCAGCAACCATTCTTATTCATCCGAAATCTTTATTTAAAATTGGATCGATGATGAAACACGTGCTAGATTCATGATTTAATTCCGTCATTGTCTTCTCGAAAATTTCAAGAGATTGCTTGCCTTTGACGGTCATAAAGCATCTTGGAACGGTATATTTATTTTTCGCTCAACTCATACATAATTTAGTCATGGTTTTTTGTCTGTTCTCCCCAGTGCTCCGCCTGATTAATTAGTAGTCCGGTCGTCATAGAAATTCTGCGACATTTATCGTAAATTTGTAATTAAATTAAAATTAATGACATAATTTTCCCGTGTTTAATTTGCAATAGAAATTCCTTCAAGTCTATCGTAGACTTCATATATTTTACTACGAATATCTTATAAATTATAATCGATGCAATACATTTCTTTTAAAGACTAAAAGTTGGAACAAAACATAATTAATTTTGATTGCAACAAGACTTTATCAACACATTATATATCATATATAAACTATAATATAATCAAACAAATTAATTAGATTTTTCTTACAATTTTAATAGCAAATTTTTCAAAATTGTAACATGATGTAACAAATTAAAATCATCTATGCTATAAAGAGCTAAAAATTGATTTTTTTTTTACTTTGTTTCGTTGAATTGTGCATTCATACCGCTAGCATCTAACTCGATTATACAATCAATGACTTGGTGAGATATTTAATGACAAATCGCGGAATTTCTACGACGGGAAGTCCTCCACCTCGACCTGCCCCGAAATTTAACGTGAGCACGAGGAACGTAGCTCTTGAGTAAGAGACGGTATCGCTGATGAACGCGCGATCAGTTTCTCCCAATTACACTAAAAAAAAAAACAGACCAACGAGACGCACCGCTCTACGAGACATACCGTCGAGAGGAGCCACCCCCAACAGGTGTCTACCCCCGCGATAAGGAGATAATCCAGAGATCGATTGATGAGAGTGTCGGACTTGATGTATATATATGCAGTACCACGGGGGGCGGCCAACGGCCCAGCGGCAGGACTTTCCTTAGGGGTCCCGCGGCGTCTCTTCAGCAACGTCAGCAACGTCTGAGGAGCTACGGCGTAATCGCCGCTCATGGGGACGGCCAGACGCTGCTACCAATGAATAACAACAACAACAACAGCAACAACAACACTGACAGCAGTCAGGCCGCTCATCGTCACGTTAACAACTCCCAACAGTACAGCTCCGAAATCCAATTACGCCGAGTCCCTCCTTCCACCTCGACCTCCACCACCACCATCGTCAGCAACAGCTACTCTCACGATCCTCGTAATCAGCAGCAAGGTATGAGAACTATCAGGCTGGTGGCGAAGCCACGCGCGACGCGGTAAGAGAGACATCAGGTAGGAATCAGGTGCGGGAAGATCAAGGTCGGATCGAGCGCGCAATAGTTGGCTGGCGATTGAGTAGCGTCTTGTTGTTCTGTGTCGCTCGAGATATGTCTAAGGAAAGTAATTGAGCAGGGATTTGCTAGAGCAAGTGGCATTTGAAGCTGCTGAATATTTAGTTGCGTAATGCCGTTATCTTGCTCGGATTGTCTCTAAGCTAGATGGCTGAGTGATTAATGCAATGTAGCGTAAAAGCCGAACGTTGATAGCGAATGTATACAGGGTATATTCTACGTCACCACTTTCTCTTTTATTAATGTACATTTTTCATAACTTCTCGTTTTTTTTTTTTTAAATAAGAAGGTGGTAAATTAAAATTCTATTGAAGCGGAATTTAATTAAAATTAAAGCTTTTTTCACATCTTGTCGTTTGTAACTTGGATATTTTTAATAAGAGGCAATTTAATTGATCAAGAAGGAGTGCCAATAATTGTGAGATATCCTGTATATGAAAGCACGAGAAGGAATGTCTTCGTAAAACTTCAAATCTTTCTCTCCCCTTTCTCTTCGCATCTACTTGTTCGTAGTGATTCATTTAGTTATTCTGTCTCGTGTGAATGTTTCCAAGTAAATTTTCTTTTGATTGTATACATCGTCCGTGTGTGCCACGCAAATTTTCGGAATGAAGCATTGCGACATGTGTCATGCTGTTCGGCGAGTCGAGTTATTGTTGTAATTCAGCTCGTTAATTGTGTACCTTGCAAAACGGACGGTCGATCCCATGTGAATTCATTATATTAATGAAGAATTTTTCGCCATATTAAATAAATTGTGCAAAGATAACTACACATTTTCACTTGTAATAATGGGATATCCGTGACTGTTTGCGATAGATATAAATTTGATATTTTCGCGTGAAGATTTTTGGTGACAATTACATAAATATATAAAAATTAAAACAAAATTTTAATACATTAAGATATAATTTAAATTTAAATTTATGCACGTAAAAAACGTCATGCATTCCAATTCCGAGTTTGATGCAATAATAAATTAAATTTATAATCTTTCCTTAATTGTTGAAGTTGCCACATTAAATAAAATGCAATAAATAATTAATCTAAATCTGATAACTCTTGTGAAATACAATAATATATTTATTTTTACGTAAATAAGAATAAAAATAAAAGAGAACAATTATGAGAATAATTCTCTCTTCACTATTGTATGTATTTTCACGATTAGTAAAGGAAATAAAGAAAATCTGAAAGTTTCCACGCGAGACTTTTTCGAAAGAGAATCGCGTTTTGCATGCAGATTGAGATTCCTAGTTAGACTACTGTTCGAATCAACACGAATAACATAGTTTTCTCTTGCAGGTGGAGCAGGAGACACAGACATGGCTTGTCAGATGGATCGTCGCGCGACGTGATCGATTATCGAACCGGTTATATAAAATCGCATCTACGCTCGCCATCAGGTAGAGTTCGGTGACTAAACTCAGCGAAAATGGAAGCAATAATTATAGGATTATGGCAGCGATATGTAGATTCCTTTGGCAGCGGCTCAATAGCCAAAGTTATCGTTCAACTTTAAACAAATATTCGACCAGCAAATAAATTTACTAGTACCTTCTGAGTCTCTTTAGGGTCTCCTTAATGCTCCGATGCATCAACATCAGTCATTTTCGACGGTAATTAACTCCTCAGCTCTCTTTAATTTTAGCTCTAAAAAGCGAGAAATAATCAAATCAATTAAACTAGGATTAAGTGGGAAACAAATGTCGATAGAAAATCTATTGTAAGACAAGTACTTTCTAATAAAATTCTTCTAGGTTTATCCCGTAAAAAACGAAAGACAGAATTCAATCAATTACGATAATAAAAAATAGAACAAAATTGAGAATACCAGTTTTGCCAAAAATAGAAATGACTTATAACTGCTAATCGCTATCGAGATGGGTTCAATTTTCCACGCGATAGGATTGTCAAGAACAAACCGTCAGAGAACTCGAGATTTATCGACTTCAGTTCATTAAAAAAATCATAAAGAACATAGAGAAGTGTAATACTTTGAATAAAATTTTTTTTTGACAATTTCACGCTATAGACGTATTTTGGTGAAAATTAGAAACAGATACGTAAAGACAATCAGAATTAGTGTATTATCTCCGATAAATATCATTTTTCCGTCTGTAAAAAACATTGTTGATCCGAATAAGGGTATCGTGCGTAGCAAAAGTATTCATATTGAGAATTAACGCGTACGTTTTATTATAAAACGCACTTACAATGGCTCAGAATAAAATCTTAAATTACGGAGTTAGCGTAATATATTACAGGGTTGATATAGTTTTATCTCTATAATTTTAACTCGAGTAATAAATTTTAAATCTACTCTACCATAGTGTTCCAGTGAACGATGGTATCGATATTTGTGATTGTAATCTATAAAAAGAGAAATATATTAATACGCAAACAAGATTCTTGGGGAGAAGCGGAGCTCAATTTACAATATATATCGTTCTCTCATATATTATCTTAAATTTTACTTGAATAAAGTTGACATAGTGAAATTTAATGATTATTAAGGTTCGTGATGAATTTTTTTTGAAACATCTATGTTTACGATGAAACTTTAAAAGTTTCATCGAGACTCAAAGATCTATGATATACGTACGTAAACTTAAATCAATTAAATCTTAAATACTAATCATGAAACTCTCTATTTTTATAATATCGCATAAGAGAATTTTCACAAAATTATTTCACTGATGATTAATCATCAGTATTATGTCATTATCATTTGTGTATTATGTACCCGATTTAATCGGTTTTTTACATGATTATGATATCTATAAGTTTCGTGGTAAGTTTTAATATTTAATATTATTTAAATGTCGACGTTTCATTTGTACATACGCTGTCAATTACACAAAACAATTAATACACGACGGTTATAATCGCAGTAATTATAACATTTATCATAAAGTATGTTGCGATAAATTCTAGTTTAATGTTGATATCATGGAAGCATTATATATCGATAATAAATCTCAATATCAAAATATCACTTATTTTATTGTCATCATTTTCTTCATATCACATGTAAAGAAACTGTGAATCTTAATCCCGCGAGAAGATTTATTAATTCTTCACGCGTTCTTGCGCACCGGATGTATCGGGTGATCCACGGAAGAAACGGGCGGATTTTTCTCAAAGTAACTGATCTCACGCATTCCATCAGCCGCGATTTCCCAAAGATCAGGGTGTTTCTGTTTGAAATTTTCATACCATTTCACCACATAAGGCCACGAGTCCAACTGGAAGTCGATGGCTTCCAGACACATCGTGGCAGTTACCAGCGGAAAATCGGCGATTGTTAAGTTATCTTATAAACAAACACAAAAGAAATATATTAATTTTTCTCGACGCCATAATAAATGTATCAAAGAAGAAATAAGAAAAAAAGTATAATAATATATGCATTTTCTATTCGTATTGTGAATGTGCCTTTTTTATTTAATTATTAAAAATATATCATGAGATCTCTCTCTCTCTCTCTCTTTCTCGCTTTAAATAAAAAATAACTAAAATTAAATAATTACTATGATTACGATTTTCGCAAACATCTCATGTCATTGTTGCGTGAATATAATTATGAACAACTGCAAATACGGTGTCAGCTGTTTCACTGCATTGTCATAGTCTTCTCAAGCTTAAATCTAACTCTGAGTGTGTTGTTTGTCTAAAAGAAACTTACTGACAGCATTTTAGCGAGCTAATACATATATATACTCACTTCCTGCCGCGTACGTGGAATTTTCGCGTTGCAAGTATGTGTTAAAAATATCCAGCGCCATTTTCGTTTTCTTCAAACCTAATGGCGTGCGTTGATAATCGTAGTATATCGGTGCCATCTGCGACATATGATTGCGAATAAGCATTCTTGATGAGAAAATGCGAGGAATTTTGATTCATTATGCACTTACAACATATTCGGAAATATTGCGATAATAAAGCGCCAAATTGAAGCACAGACGATGATTGACGATTGCGCGCAATTTTGGCTCCTTTGGATACAGTTTACCACTTGAATCATATTGATCGGCTAGATATTGCAAAATAGCATTGCTGCAAAACGTTATGAATTATGCAAAAGTCGGAGAACGTTATATAAATAATCGATAATATGCGTCTCTCTTTATTTTATCCGTGAATGACATCTGCATAAATTACGTTTGCGAAAAACAGTTTAAAAATAACAGATATTCTTCTGAGACGTTTTTAATATCGGGAAGAAATAGATTTTGTATAAATGTTTACCTTTCGCCCATTATTAGATCATCATCAATTAGAGTAGGTATCTCTTTTTGTGGATTCAGCTGGAAGAATCGATGCAGTTTTAATGTTTTTTTCTGCGTTATTTATTACAGATTTTTTTTAACAATTATTTTTTCAACACTTTACCTCTTCGTATTCGTTAGTCAAATGTTCGCTTTTCCCAAAATCTACGTTGATCAACTCGTACTCGATATCCAAAGCCTTCAACAGTTGCTGACAAGCGAGAGACGGTGGACCGTCCGAAACGGAATATAATTTCATTTTGTATTTGGAAGATCTATAAATTATACAGATGTACAATGTTATTAAATATATCAACACAGTGAATATAAATTAACAAATTACGAATAAAAATTAATTCGATATTCAAAGATTATAATTCTAAAATTAAATGTTCAGAGACATTTATGGAGATAAAAATTTATTCGGCAATTTTCTTTTCATGAAAAATAAAATTAATTCACATTTTATAAAAGATTTTCTAAAATTGTTTTAAAGGAAATATTATATTATGTAATGTATCAAGAGAGATTATAGTTTTTAAATGTGTTCTTGTATATTCGAGTGATTAAAATTTGCTGACACATAAATATAAACAAATTATATTATTTAATAATTCAATAATAATGCTACTTACGTTATTTAACAGAGCACAAAACAATATGCGTGACAACTGCGACTGAAGTGAAAAAGATACTGACAAGATACCAAGATATCAATATCAAGCCTTTCACTACTTATGCAAGGTCACAACGCGTATAAAGTGACCTATTTTTCATAAATTCTGCTAATGCATGCATGTATTTTATTACAAATACTCGATAAATATAATCTCTTCTATCATTTCATGTCACATTGAAATTATTCATTATTTACTTTTTATAAATATATTTTAAAAAAATGTATCTTTAATATTGAACTTATATGTAATAATTCTATATCATATATATATAATTCATATTTTGATAAAATAAATAAATATATCGTTACAAAGAAATGATATTTATATATAACAGAATATATATGTGTGTGTGTGTGTGTGTGTGTGTGTGTGTGTGTGTGGGAATAAAATATTGCCGTATAATGCATTTAAGAATAAAGATTACATGTTTATTTAATTTCAAGTCTTATTGTTAGTCTCGCTTTGGATATAATATTAAGTTAACAAACAAAATCCTCGCAAGAACACATAATATCGGTGATAAAATTTGATGAATACGAGAGATTCATTCGATGAAGCAATGTCAATTTTCATGTCACAATAACTCATCGCGAATCTTTCGTACTCATCATGTACAAAGATATAAAAAGTAAAAGGAAAATAAAATAAGAAATCCTAAAACTTACAGATGTATTTCGTATCTCCAAAATGCGATATAAATAATAACAATAATAAAATAGCATTTACAACTGCATTTAAAACTAGACGCACTTAGGCATCTTAGGAAATTCTCTTTCTCTTTCTTCGTTTTTTTAACGAGATATGAAATATCTGCAAGTTCTGTACTAGAGACAAGAGACACTTTTTATCTCAAGCGAGATAAGAGATATCTCCTATCATTAGAAATGTCACTGATCATAATTCTTTTAGACATATTATTGGCGATTTCGTTACAAAAAATTTAACATCGGTTCGCGAGTTAGAACTTAATATACACAAGTCTATATTAACACGTATCTATTTTCATAAAGTGCGCTCGCATTCTGCACTGTCGCATATTTTGCACACAATAACCACATAAAATGATGTTCGTATCTCAGCTATATACAGTACACACTCTCATATCTTACAGACATTAGACAAAATCGTAGGAGTTTATATGTAAAGAATCACATTCAACAGTATGGCAGCAGGGGCTACTAAATTTTTCTGCTGAAGTATATCGCATTTGATATATCCTTAATGTAATATACTTCATTAAGATATTATTTTTATTATCATGTAAACGTTTCCGTAAAATCGGATTGATATTTAAAATTTTGAAAATAATACATAGAGGAAACAATTGTGTGTGTACTACATTTTAACTTTGTCTATATTCGTTTTACATTGGAAAAATATTTGTGCATAATAGAAAAAAAAAAGAAATAATTACATAAGATATAGAAACATAAAATTCATAATATCTTTTCTCTTTTTATAAAAAAACTATATATAAACATTTTTCTCGCTATGATTTTCTACTTTGATGTAATGTAATATCATAAACGCTAATTGGCTGGCGATATAACAATATGTAATTTGAGCATGTCTTTGTTGGGACCCACTAAGAAAGGAGACACCACGTTCTCTGATACCGAGCCCTGTTGCGGATTGAGCTCCTCGAATGGCAGGAGATCGTCCAGATTCAGGACGCGATCCTTTCTACTGAATCTATGAATGATCTCGGTGACTCTCGCGATATGTTCGACCCCGTCTTGCAATCCGTAAATCAAAACTCCGATCTTGACGCGCATGTGACTGTTCATCGGGGGCTCTTTGCACGTCAACGACAATCTTACCGATCGCTTGACGTGCTCGGGCATCTCTACCGTGCCTTGCCATACTATGAGGAAAAACTTCTTGAACCATACACCCTTAGGGTAGATGTCTACCACCCATTCGCAAGTTTTATCGCCGGCGTATTCCGCTAAATTGGAGTGACTGGAAAACACAAGTGTCCTCGTGTGATATGATGGTAGTCCGTGAAAGTTTTCTATGGTCAGTAGCGAGCTGCATGTGTCGACGGTATACAATCTCGGTTCGAACAACAAAGCGCCGTCCTCCTCGCTAAGACTCACTTCTCTTACTCTGTCCGTTTGACCCGAATGAAAGGACATGCCGATCGACATACGTTCCACGAAGAATTCCTTATACTTTTTTGTCAACGGCGACAGTAATAGGTCTGCCAATTGTCGCGGGGACATCATCGGGAATCTAACGGGCGACATGACTGCTATCACCAGTTGATGCAACGTCGCCTCCAGCTCGTCCGGCGACAACTGCGCTCTCAATCGATCTGCCTGATGATCCAACCAAAATTCTAGGCACTTGTAGAGCGTCATCTCATCCTTTATGACTAAACTGCTTTGGTGCAACAACGATACTAGGATATCTAAGTCAAAATTTGCAAAGTCCGCAGTCTTGGCCACGAGCCCCAAGTTCCACTTGATGAAGTTTTGGCACGCTTGGCTAATGTCGTGATGACCACAGTTCAATGTGTATTGCAGCCACGATACCAAAGTGCCGTGTATGGCAGCAAGCGCAATATGATTTCGCATGTAGTCAAGGCACAACAATATCAAATCTTTAACATTGTACTTATCGGCTAGAGATAATATTGGTAGAACAACACCATAATTTATTCTTATTTGACCAGTGTAAAAGTAGCGCAAAAATTCGCTGAATATTGGCGCGCATTGAGGCGTTTCTTGAAGGGTTACCCTGCTTTCTTGAGATTCACTCCATTGTGGACTCATCAGCATCACCTAAATATAAATTAATATCGAGTATTACAAGTTCAACATTATATATAAATAAATCTTAAATATATATATATAAATATATAAATATATTTATATATATATTTAAGATATATATATTTTATATATATATATATATATATATATATATATATATATATTTATATACAGGGTGTTTCATTTTAATCCGACCACCTAAATTTCTCGGAACCTAAGCAAGATAGAGAAAAATGTTTTAGACAAAAGTTGTATGATTTCAAGGGGGACATAAGATGGTGTCATTAGTTTGATCTTGAAGAGCCATCTGAAGGAGCCAATTGATTCTTCTCATTATTTTGTACATAAAAGTATTAAGGTAAAATAATCGAAAAATGAATATTTTACAAGATATTTTACGGTTTATGTAAAATTAAAAAATGATTTCAAGCCTCATAACTTGGAAAGTACTTAATGAAAACTAACTTAATTATAGTGTTTTGGAAAGCTCCTGAGATGAGCTACAAGAATATGCAAAAGCATATAGGGTGTCCCATTTAAAAAGTTGGAGCTGACCTTCGCGTGTCCTTCAGGTGGCTCTTCAAGATCAAACTAATGACACTATCTTATGTCCCCTTGAAACCATACAACTTTTGTCTAAAACATTTTTCTCTATCTTGCTTAGATTCCGAGAAATTTAGGTGGTCGGATTAAAATGAAACACCCTGTATATATTTATATTTATATAAATATATATATATATAAATATATTTATATATTATTATATACATAAATATATATAAATATACTAACTTGGAAAACATCACTAGAAGCACAGAGTATAAGTCGGTGTGCTGGATATTCTACTCCATCCACAACAAGACAGATATCATTCATAAGACGTTCCGCATACAGCGTTGCTATCTTTAACAAAACTGTACGCGAATTGTCTACCTGCAATCAATTAAATTAATAAAGATCGCATAACGATAGCATTTAGGTTTCATGTAATACTTGATATACAGAACCTCTATAGAATCTGAGCTTTCAGATTGCGCGACTGTGCTCTGACTGCTGTTAACTGTTTCCGATTTCTTGCTGGGATCCATCCTTGAAGAACGTGTCATCCACCCAATAGTAGTCCGCAACATCTGTACATGTTTCCTCGACGTATTTACAACTTAATCGTCGCTTTCCATTATAAACAATGAAATTTCAATGAGGAACACGAGCTATTTCCACAGACTTTTGCAACGTCATCTCGAATTTGCATATGTTTGGGCAATCTCGTTAAATATGATCGACGAATTCAATTGAGTCCAAGATTCAGAGAATTTGCAATTTTTATCATAATAAAGGCCTAATTTCGATCTCTGAGGCGATGTCTTCTTGTTGCCAACAACCTTGAATAAGTAGTGTTTTTTTTTTATTGAAACATCGTTTATATCCCACAAATATTACAGTAAAATCGACCGACCTTCGTGCAAATTATTCTCGGGTAATTTCGAAAAATCCTCCTCAAATTCTCGTTACACAGGCATAAACATGTAGTGGCAACTCCCGTGTCGACTGGATATCGGTGCAAACGAATGGAGGTCCAACACCGGCGTCCTCGACGTTAATCAGTGTCAAAGAGCAGAGAGAAGCCTAAGAGCGGTTATGCCGATGCCCCCGATTTAGGTGAAACGCGTATTTGAAGCGCCTCTATGTCCACAAAACATGGACGTTGAACTACGTCGCCAAGTCCATGAAACTTCTCAAAGGGTAACATGCTATGTCCACGATTAACGGTTCTGTTCCGTGCTATGTGCACGAAGTGAATGCTAAAATATGAATGCAAGACAAGTAAATTATATATACATCTTTAATATAAATAAGTTTTGTAGTCTCTCTTTTTCTCTCCCAATTTATACATATTTAAGCTGAAATTTATACTGAAAATAGCTATATACAATATACATATAGAAATTTCATTATATGATTATAATATTTGAAAATAAGATATTTTTTATTTTTTATTAGGTTATTAATAAATATATTTAATTTATATATATAAAAAGAGGGAGAGAGAAAATTTAATATTATTTTTAATGTAGAACGTACACTATAAGAAATAAAGTATTGAAATAAAAGTTAAAGTGTGATGCATATATTAACAATATCGTTTAAAAAAGATTTAAATTATAAATATTTTAAATTATAAATATTATTTTTATATCTAATAAAGTATTAAGAATCAAAATATTATGCTGGTATAAAAATTATAAATAGATAAATAAATTAGAAATATATAAATAGTGTTGACTATATTAGAATGGGACATATGAATTTTTTATATTTTATATAAAGGAAAAAACATTTAAAATATCTATATTTAACATTTATATTTTTCTATATTTTCAACATTTATATTTTTCAAATCTTAATTATAAAAACATTAGAAGAATCAGTGATTAATTTAACAAATTCCATACATATATTAATAATTAAATTTTTAAATAATTAAAAAAATGATCGATAAATATCAAAGATCAATTTAATACTAATTAAGAAGGTTTATTTAGAAATATGGTTAAAAATCTTTTTATCTTTTATCCCACAGCGTCCCAGGCATTTTGTTTTTTTGTAAATAAAAATATATAAATATGAATATATAACATATATATTGCGCGAACGTTGAGCGCAGCAATGGCCATGCGCAGAAACGAATGCGCAGTGGTTCGGCCGCCATGTTGGCGCGTGACTGCTACGTCATACGCGTCATACGTGACTCGGAGTCATACGCAGTTACACGGATCGTCGAACATCCGCATTTTTCGCGTCTTTTAACCGTTTTTAAACGAATATCGCGAGTGAACGAGCGTCGAAAGTGTCCAAGGATGATCGCGCGACTTTCATAGTGTGTCGATGGAAACGAGCGACAGCGATTTTTGACGATATTCAGTGATGGCGTCATCGCGAAGATGGAGCGAAGTTGCGTCGCGTTATTCACGCCCTTGATGATGATTATCGGATGCGAGTGAATATCGGGAGTGCCGAATAAAGTGTCGCGCGTTCGCGTTGATGATATCGTGTGAGTTAGTGTGCATCAAGATCGGAATGGGACGTCCCGAGGCGAGCGAATGGAGCAGCCTGTGGAACAGCCGGTGAACGGTGAGTAGATTTGATTTATCATATTTGCGTGACAATTCGTGCTCAGTCGACGCTTATACAGCATCGCGATGTCCTGAATTACGTTCGGACAAATCGGCGCCGCATCATAATTCGATGCGATGTCGTATAATTCAAATAAAGTCGATCGCGTGAAGATGGTTAGGCTAGAAGCGATTTCAAATTTATTTTGTATACCCGCGCGCAGTGCTGCACAGCATCTTTTATATATCTCATAGGGCTGCCAACTGTTAAACGATAAATTTTTCCGATCTAACCTAACCTAATCTAACCTAAGCTCTCAGTGTCTTTGGATGTCGAATGTAAACACAAGCGTATGCTGCCTGGATTTTATCATGCTTTCAAAAATAATATTTAATTATTTCATTAGTGTATTACATTTTATTACGTAGTATATTAATCGTATTAAATGTGCGACGTACAGTTTTACACATTTTAATGAGGAGCATATAATATAATTGGTTAGGTTAGATTAAATTAAAAGAAGCTGCTGTGATTCATTTAACGCAATAGGATTAATTTGATGAATGTGCAGCTATTGAAGTTACATGATATTTGTGGACACATTTTTAAAGTAATCATGAGTGTCTTATCTCGATTACATGAAATTAAAATATAAAATATTTATGTATTCCACATTAACGTTATTCATTACAAGTACTATATTATTTTTCTTATATCTCAATTGTATTCAATCATTTATTTCATCGATGAAGCTTTTCATATATCGCAAACAATATGATACTGTGTATGGAATTTTAATAAGTATTACATGGCACAAAAATAATTTGTTCTTAAGTATTGTGCGCAATTCTCAAAAATAAATTAAATTAAATTATTTTCAGTAAGATCCAATCATTACAGGATTACTCTCCAGGATTGTATCGTATTTCAACTGCGATATTATTACCTTTTTATATGTGCAATATTATATACATAAGATGTATAAATTTATTTGGAACGTGTCTAAATCTTTATCTTATTTATAACATTATAAAAGAAAATTGCAATCTATATGAAACAGAGCAGTGGAATAATTGATTGATAGTTACGCTGACCTACAATATTATATATTACTATCTTTTTCCATCACTTTTCGTGCTTTTTTTATTATACATATGTTATATTTGTAATTGTAGTACTCATAATGTTGTTTATTATATTGTTTTGGAAACATTAAGAAGATTATTCATGAGAAAAATCGCGACATCTTTTGAAATATTGTATATAGAGGTTCAAATATTAAGATATTTTTAGAATTTGTAGAGTATTATCCAGAATTTTCCAATTAAAAAGCTAGATATGTGAACAAATTTTTTATTCATAAAAAAATAGTAAAAATATAACGTTCACAAATTATAACATTTATATAAAATTTATTTTTTATATTAATTTATATGTACTACACATTATTTTTTCATTATATATATGTATATGTATAATGGTACATTATTATTTTTTCATATTACATAATTAATACTTATAAACATATACATGTAATGTACTATAAATGCTATAAAAATCAAACATTGTAAATCAAAATAAAAAGTCACGATATTAATTTGTTCTTGAAAATGTATAAAGAAAGAAAAAAAAGAAAGGACTACAAAACTCATTAAGTTAAAAATTATTTATTATTGCAATATTGTTTATAAAACAATTTTGAAATTAGAGACAAATATATGTAAAACGTAAAAAAAACATAGGATTCAAAATAAAGAAATGCAGCCATATTATATGGATGTTAGATTATCTTTATTATTACATCTGTTTAAAAGACATAACTTATTTATAAAAATATGGGAGCGGGTACCGCGGGGCTAGGATATAATAGGATCGAACAAAATCCTTAATTCGCTTATTTGTGTATAGGTCAATGCTACTAAAATTCAGTACTTTTTACAGATTACAAGGCATAACAAGATCTATTGTAAAATAATCGGTGTGTTGCTTAACTTACATCGTAAATAATTGTAAATTATTATATCATAATGCCTAGAGTTATACCGCTGATTTTAACACAGAATGATAACGCATCAGAGAGCAGTGTTGAATTTTGAACACATAGTAAAATTGCCCAATACACTTGACAACATTACGTATAATACCTATGTATTGCTAACATTTTTTTGTGCCTTTACAAACGAACCAATTGCAGATCTTTATCCTTCTAAATTTTTATTTTTTTTTTTTTTTTTGCTTTTATTTTTTGACACGTTATATTATGGATAGATTATGCATTATTTAGTGACACAGTATATTATAAAAGAGAATAGTTAAAAAAATATATAGATTTCTTATAAAATACTTATATACTCTCTTTCTCTTGTATATGTGCATATATTTATGCTCTTGTTCGTTATTTAGCAGAATTCATATGATTTTCGCGATATGTATGGGCAGTTCTAAAGATATGTATAATAATTTCTTTTAAATGATACAAAAGAGTAAAATAAAAGATGTGTCCTTTCCTTATGGAAATACATTCGTAGAAAAAACAGACACTGAAATTACATTGAACTTATGACATTCCATGATCATAAAAAAAATTCCGTCGCATCGCTCTGTATGAAATTTAGAATTGCATCAAGCATCATATCCTTGATGCAACAGCAAATTACATACGACATACAATACAATTATATAATAATAATATAATGAAAGAGTCATGATTATTGAACGCGGTATCATCTTACAAAAGTAAGATATAGTACAGTACATATATAAAATGTATGTATATATTTATATATATAGATAAACTTATATATAATATATAAAAAATATGTAAAAACGGGGAGTGCATTTGTACAAAAATTCAGGAGAGAAAAGATAATTATATAAAAAGTACTTAAACAATACGTAAAAGATATGAGCGAATAGAAATGAAAGAGAGTATTTACATTTTACATTTGCATTCTTTCGATATAAAATTAAAACAGCGCATTGACAATTCTACAAATCAGATCATACCGATGATACCAATAGCGGTCTTCGCCTAACGTATGAAGATCGTCTCACTGGTACCGATATATTGCAAAAGCGCGCGCACGAACTTTCTTCATCCCGTAACATTCCGTATCATTAATTCTCCCTTCTCTCTTTCTCCCACACACACATACATATATATACGTACATAAATTCTCCCATACATACACAAACAATTTCTACAAAATAATGCATCATTGTCACTCGTTACGCGTATCATTTATACGCATCGTGTGATCGTCCTATTATTTGAAAAATGCAGTTTTGGCTTTGGCAGAGAAGAGACCAGAGAACTGTCCCACCGCTCCGCGCCGAGTACTTAATTTAAAGGCGATCGATACACCTAGAGATTAACGTTAATGATTACCCTAGTCTTGTTAGTAATGATTTTTCGACGGACATAATAGCGCGAGGGAGAGGAGGAAGGATCGAAGAAAGAAGAGGAATTATTGGCGCGCCATGGAATGTCTATGTATGGAACGATGCGAGCTGAAAGGACCAATTCTCTGAAGCTCCCGTCGACCGATAATGGATGTTCTCTGGATAGTCACAGATGATGGATGTTCTCTAGACAATCGTCTCTTCGCCTTATATTACATTACGTTACATTACATTACATTACGTTACATTACATTACATATCGCCGATAAAAAGAAAACTGGCATCTCTAATACATTAACCAGTGATAAACATTCGATCTGTTTAGAGGCCATTTGGAAACGCTGCGTTTCTTCTCGATATAATTTAATAATAGATTCATCTACAGAACTTGCGTGTCTTATACTCTACGGAACTTGAAGGCACAATTCTCATTTCGCGCTTCATGTGTTACACCGGTGATTATCTTACCGTTCGAAATCTAAAAATCGGTCTATCAAAAAGTGTAGTAAAAAGGAAACAATTCCCAGGTAGAACATGATTTTATTTATCATGATTTTATTTATCACTTAAAAGTTACCTAAACCAAAATGATTAAAAAATAAGTTAAAGATGACAAAAAGAATAATAAATTTTTAAGTTCAATAATCGCATTATATAATTTTAAAAAGATTATGTTGCTTAAATATAATTAAAATATACCTGAATAATTAAATAAATAAGTAATTGCAATATATATATATATATATATAAAATATATATATTATATATGATTGATTCTTAAGATTTCATACGCGAAGTATATATATTCTTCAACAGAGTTCGCTAGAATTGTTTAATATCAAAAATAAGTCACTAAAACATTGCCAAAAGTATATCAAATGATATCATTATTTTTTTAAGATGACTTTTAGGTGACTTTTAGGACGTCATAATGATGTCATTATGAGTTTTATGTTCTACCTGGGTAATCAAAGATCGAGTCAATACAATTCCTTTGTGTATACGATGCGCATTAGGCACTAAATAGAACATTACATGTTATATAGTCGTCTCCGTGGAATAACAGACACAGCTGCGAACGATAAATCTATTGTAATATGTACAATTATTATGCGTAGAGCAAGGTCTCGCTCCCTTATAAATTATTGTCCATCGGGGATCTTCACATTGGCAAGTTCAAAGGCACTGTTTCTTCATTGAGCTGTGTCGCGATAATAAAAATCGACAGATATCAAAAATATATCGGCTATTTTTTATAAGTTGCGCGATTCCTCGGTCGCGAGGATTTTCCTAAACATCGCGTCGCATTAAAGAGGCACAATCGGTTTTGCAATTTGAATACGTTTTTGTAATATCTCTGTGATCGAAAAATCTTCCATCCATCCCCCTCCCTCTCATGCGGCAATACACATATACATAATTGTTTATATTCCTACGCATCAATGTTGAGCGAAAAATATGTTCGGAAATCTGATGAATCAATTAACAATCAATGATTAATCAATTAATAATTAATAATCAATCATTAATAAACCATGTAAATATATAATGACGAATACATTTGTATCCAATATTGATGAATTATTTATTCAGCCTAACATTGATACGCATAAATATATATAATAATTGCGACGCTTCAACGTAGCTCATCATCTTCGACACACATACAAACAAACAAACAAAAATAAAAATACCTTCTTGCCACTATAATTTAATTACGGCGAAAGAGTCTTTCATATTATCATATATCGGTCGTCCATTTCGACACTTGTAGAGAGACGCTCGAACTCGACGAGCTGATCACAGTTCGTATACCTATCTCTTTTCTCATCTCTTTCACGATTTACGATTTATTGGTGCGAGGAAGAGAGCACCGTTGTACCAATCTCATATGTAGATCGCCGCCTCGGTACTCTTGTTGCTTTGGTGAGCGCCGCTTCCGGCGCCGTAGACGTTCGTGGGTGGTGCTTGTGGTGGTGATGCTGCTAGGCACTCGGACCAATCGCTGTTGGAATGGGGCGAGCTCGAGGACCAGTGGCCCGGACTGTCCGGCGATGGCGTCGGAAAGCTCTCGGGCGCCTGCATGAGATGCTGCGGCGTGACATCGGGTCCGGAATGATGGGACGGCGGCGTCAAGTACTGGTAATATTGTTGCTGCTGCTGTTGCGTACTTTGCTGCTGCTGCTGCGGCTGCTGCTGCTGCGGTTGCTGCTGGATCTGCTGCTGCGTCTGCTGCATCTGCTGTTGCTGCTGCTGCTGCTGCTGTTGCTGCTGCTGTTGCGCCTGACTCGAGGTGTATGGCAGATTGTCGAAGTCGAATCCCACTGGCGGCATGCTGCCGTGCTTCTGGTGCGTCGCCTGCCTCATGGCGGCGATGTGGGTAGGCGAGGTGGGTAACGATGGCCGACTTTTCGCCGGCGATGGCGAGCCCATGTAGCTCGCTTGCGGGGAGAGAGTCATGTTGGATTGCACCGAATGTGGCGGCGATTGATTGCTGTACGGTGGCGACAGTGTGTTCACCATACCCTGCTGTTGCCGCTGATGCGGCGCTAAGAGCTGGTCGTGAAACGGCAGCCCGTAATTGGTCGCGAAGGTATCCAGACCGAGTTGCTGCAGGCCTTGCATCGACTGACCCTTGATGCAATCCTCGTACGGAGGCGGCTGTTTTGCTGTTGCCGTGTGCGCCACCAGGGGCAACGCGTTGCTGTAGAGGCTCGCGCTGTCGTACGGGCTCGTTGGCAAGTTGCCATCGGCGCCTTCCGCTCCCTGTGGGATCTCCTGGTTTGGGGGTTGAGCGCCGCGTTTGGCCGGCGGTTTCTTCACCGATGGCTTTCGCCTCACCATCACTACTACGCCCTCCGATTCCGGGCTGTTTGGGTTTCCCGCCTTTGGCCGCTTCTTCGACTTGGTCTGCTTCGGCGCCGAGCCGATTACTGTGGGATGTGTGATTAATTGTGGATGATTCGGAGAGCCTACAAAGAAAGGGAATAATTACACGATGGTATTTTATTCAACGAGCTAAAGTTAATCAGAGTTAAATTTTTTCTAAGGAAGATTATTTTATTCCTATTAGTTTTTTATTGGTGATAAGATTTTTATACAACAAGTATAGCTTAGAATATTATAATAAATATGCTTACCCATGAGAGGACCATTCGGAATGACTGTGACCATCTGCGGTGACCTTGGCACATGTTCATCAAGTAGTCTAACGATATCATGATGTAGTCTTTCGCTGGCGACATCGCGCGGTAACCGATCCATGTGATCAGTAATTTCCCTGTTGGCGAACGTGTCCAATAACGCTTTGCACGCCTCGAAGCTGCCCTCGCGTGCGGCGAGGAACAACGGGGTTTCATCCTTGTCATCTTGAGCATCTCTGTTCGCGCCATGCACCAATAATATGTTTACGGCGTCGACGTTATTGACCGCCGCCGCCCAATGCAACGCGGTCTTGCCGCTGTTGTCAGCGGCGTTAATGTCGGCGTCGGCGTTGATGAGATCCTCGACCATACCTTCGGTGGCTAGACGCGCGGCTAGTATCAACGGCGTCGTACCATCATGCATACGAGCGTTCAAATTCGTCGCCCGATTGCGCAGCAGAATTTGAAAGACGCCCATAGCATCGGCTGCGACCGCCGAGTGCAGCGGCGTACGTCCGGTGTTATCCTGGGAATTCGCGTCGGCGCCGGCGTCTAGCAGTCTCTTGGTTGCGTCAGACCGAGCGTAACGCGCAGCTAGATGCAACGACGTCTCGCCGCTCTTATCCGTGGTCTTGGCGTTCAAATCGGCGCCCTGGGCGACCAGATCAGCGATCTTGGCCGCGGCGCCATCATTCTCGTCCTCTTCTTCGCCAGTGTCGAGGCCACCGCCCCGCACGGCCGCTACCATCAAAGGTGTCATGCCACATGGACCACGTGCGTTAACATCCTGGCCGTGTTCCAGGCTGGGCGGCGTCAGGACACCGCCCGCATCCGGCCGACATATCTCGGCAGCGTCCAGATGCTGCTGCGTCCACATGCGCGGCTCGGTCTCTTCATAATCCGTGATAGCGGTGTGATCGCTCGCGTAACCCGGCTCGATCGCCCGCATCCGTTTCGAAGGCGGAAGATCGGACTCATCGTCGGACCACTGGGACTGCACCCGAGTCACTACGTCCAGGTCCATGCAGTTTACTGATGGTTGTTTGTTCAGATTGCGCATCTCCTGACCGTCTGGACCGCGTCGGCGCGAGCGGCGCCGTTGGCCGCTGCCGCTGCTGGTCCTCAAGAAGCCCTCGGGGAACCATGTAACTCCTACGGCGCGTTTCCGTTGTGCGGTCACCAGTACGCCCATCAGTAGACCACCGAGCACCACGATGACCACGCCGATAAAGACATACTTGTAATTTGTTGTACTGTCGGGATACTCTGGACCCTGGGGATCTACCACACCTCGCACCTGCTCGATGGGGAAGTTCCGCAACAGGGTGTGCTTCGACGCCGTGGCGGCCAAATACTCAGCCGCCTCATTGGCCGATGGAAAGCATCCTGTGGCATCTCGACGGGAAGTAGTCAACCCCGACATCATCGAGGAAGGGATGCATTTGCGGTTATCAATCTCCAGATAGATGATCACACCGTTTTGATTATTGGGATGGATTATCGTTGGGCGACCGAAATTATAGTCGGGATCTCTCTCGGGTTTCCAAGGATATATCATGTCATTACCGAGTTCATCCTGCTTCACGCGTGTCGTCGTTCTCAGTTCGTTCCCGAGTTCGCGTAGAAAAGTCACGATGTGCTCGCGGAAGGACTCCATGTCCATTCTTACGACAATAGATATGGCACCTTTAGCCAATGATGGTGGTTCTCCATCGCAGTCGAGGCCGTCCCAATTACACTCTTCATTGTTGCAGCCATAATCGCAATGACCGTTTGCGTAATGTTGCTTGCAGTACGCGTCGTAAACCGGACTATAAAGCAAAGAAAATAATAAATAAAAATGCAATAAATATAAATACACAGTTTATTAAAATATTATATACAGGGTGTTTCAGACCACCCGCACCACTCACTTAAAAACTAGAGAAGTGGTTATTTCAAAAAAGTAAAAACACTTTCTTTATAAATCGAATGCGCTCTATTGAATGGTGATATTTTCAACTTCTGATTCCATGAAACCATAAAATATCTTGTAAAATATTCATTTTTCGATTATCTTACCTTGATACTTTTATGTACAAAATAATGAGAGGAATCAATTGATGTAAAGAAAACACATAGTTGTTTCTAAGAAAAAATATGTAATTTGCAATTAATAATTCCATATTTTTTCTTAAAAACAATTGTATGTTTTCTTTACACCAATTGATTTCTTTCATTATTTTGTACATAAAAATATTAAGGTAAAATAATCGAAAAATGAATATTTTACAGTTTAAAATTAAGAATATTTTAAATTATGAATATTTACAGTGTAAAATTAAGAAATGATTTCAAGCCTCTTAACTCGAAAAGTACTTCATGGAAAAATAATTTATTATAGTGTTTTGGAAAGCTCTCGAGGTAAGCTACAAGAATATGCAATGAAAAATAGGAGGTCCATTTAAAAAAATACACTTCCGATTTGAATCGCCTATTTCCGGCCGGAACCACAAGTTGAAAATATCACCATTTGATAGAGCGCACCCGATTTATAAAGAAAATGTTTTTACTTTTTTGAAATAACCACTCCTCTAATTTTTAAATGGGTGGTACGGGAGCCCTGTATGTATCGTTCAGAGATGTTAATATAAGAAGAAGCTAATTCTATTAACAATTTCAATATCAAATAAATTATTTAATATTAAGAGTGTAATACTCAATAGAATATAAAGTAATTAAAAAATGTAGCGAAAAATAAATACTCACTTGCAAGGGCCGACTTTTCGCTCGCAGTCTCTGCCATCGAAAAGGCACTGCGGGTTGTTGCAGACCTCGTCGCACATACCGTTCATAAATACGTCCCAGCATTTAATGGGCGCGGAACAATTACGCCACGGATTGATGCCAAGTGAGCAATCCTGTCCGTCAAAGTTGCATGCATGTTTGTTGCATTCCTCGTCGCAGCGATTATTGCCAGCTTTCTCCTCGCAATTGTTTTCAATACACTTTCTACGCTCGCGCTCAGTATTATAATCATAAGCATTCGAGATTTTCGGGACATTAGGTTGAACACCGAACACACCGCCAGGATAATTCGGATCGTATATCTCACAGTTCTTGCCGACCCACTTGGGAGGACAATCGCAAGCGTAGTCGTCGATCTTGTTGACGCAAGGTGCATCTTGTTGGCACGGGTTACTTTTGCATTCGTCTCGGGCGTCGAACTCGCAGTGCGTCCCCGTCGTACCTGACGTGCAATAGCATCGATAGCTGGTTCCAGAAACGTGACACGTGCCACCGTTTTGACACGGCTCGGCATCGCAGTAAGAGCCAACAAATTCGCAATTGGTACCGTGATAACCGCTGGGGCACACGCACGTGTGCCTGTCTTGCTTAGCCGTGCATACCCCACCGTTTTGACACGGCGAGCTGTCGCAGAAATTCACCTTGATCTCACAGTGACGACCCATATAACCAGGCTTACAATTACAGTGATAGTTGTTGACCAGTTGTACACAATCCTGTGTGCCAGGCGAGGCGCACGGATTCGACAGGCATTCGTTGATATCGCCTTCACATCTCGGTCCGACGAAACCGGGCGGACATTTGCACTCGAAACCGCCCACCTTATCGGTACAGGTACCGTTGTTATGACAGGCACCTATCAAGCAGTCATCGGTGTTGACGTCGCATATGATACCAAGAGTACCGAACGGGCAAGAACAATTGAATCCGTTGATCTGATCGTGACAGATGCCACCGTTCTGGCAGGGATTTGGTTGGCAGTCATCGACATTGAGCTCGCAGTTCTGACCTTGGAAGCCCTTGGTACATAGACACTGATACGAGCCAATGAGGTCCTTGCATGTTGCACCGTTTTGACACGGCGCCGACTCACATTCATCGATCTCCTTCTGACAGTACGAACCGGTGTAGCCTTCGAGACAATGACAACGATGACTGTTGCCTATATCCTCGCAGGTGCCGTTGTTGCAGAGATTCTTCTCCAGCACGCCCTTTCGTATCGCGGCATCCTTGCACGAAACCATCTCCACGTCGCAAACCTTGCCGGTCCATCCCGGCGAGCAATTGCACTGATACTTGTTCTTCACTTGCGCGCACGTAGCCTGGTTCTCGCACGGATTATCGGCGCACCAGTTTACATACGCATCGCAATGTGCACCCGTGTAACCATATGGACAATGACATGTGTAATACTGCACATGATCATGACAGGTGGCACCATTCTTGCAGGGTGAGCTGTCGCACTCGTTGATACGATACTGACAGTTGGATCCAGTATAACCATGTTTGCAAACACACGTATAATTGTTGATACCGTCGATGCATTTGCCGCCGTTCATGCAGCTACTATCGGTGCAGTCTTGATCGTTGGTTTGACAATTGATTCCAGAGAAACCGCGTCGGCATTGACACGTGTAGGAGTTGACGTATTCCTTGCAAATCGCTCCATTCTGACAGGGCTGCGATATACACTCATCGATGTCGACCTCGCAGTGCTTGCCGCTGAAACCATCCACGCAGAGACACGTGTAATCGCCGATGCCATCCAGACAGGTACCGCCGTTCTGACAGGGAACTGTAAGAGACAATATCTTTGAGTATCGTTTGATGGATATTTGTTTATTTAAAAAAAATACATTTAATTTAATCTATGTTGTCACAAATGATAAGACAGATGACGCCCTGTGAATTCGCATTAAGGCTCTCAAATAAGAGCGCAAAGGCAGATCTGCATCTGTAGCGAATAAAGAACAGCCAGTACTCACATGATGCACAGTCATCGGTATTGATGATGCAATCACGGCCCTCGTAGCCCTTCGCGCACACGCAATGGTAAGAGCCGTTGGTGTTCCGACAAGTGGCACCGTTTCTGCACGGCGACGTCATCACGCATTCGTCCACATCCTCGTCGCACAGTCTGCCCGTATAACCAACCGTGCACGTACAAGCGAAGTCGAGGAAGTTCGATGATGGCGAGCATTTCGCTCCGTGGAGACATCTGGAAATGACACAGCAAGGCGTTACAAAGTCGTTTTCTATTGTATCTATAGGTCGTTCGCACGCGAATGCATTTTGTCAAACGAAGCTTCTTTAAAAAAGCAGGTACTATTATGTAGTAACATCATAATGAATACAAAGAAGTTGAAGTATAAGAGCGATTTTTGCGTGAGTTGCAATTTTTTTTTTCATAATAAGTGCCTGCTTTTTCAGATATATTGAAGTAAAAGGTATTGAAGAAATATGTTTAAATGCAATCTAACTTTCAAGTTATATATTATGTTATATAATTAAGTTATATATTATGTTATATAATTTCGAAAATCAACTTTCCAAGATTTTATACTATGCTATATTTCCTAAAATACTCTGTTAAGACAGTAGAATGCAATTGCACGACAAACAATCTTAACATTACAGTTTCATATATATGCGAATCTAGCCATCGTTTCCCTCATGCAAACACTGAGAAAGTTCGTTTGATTGCACCAACAAGTCATATATGATTGAAGGCATTTTGGTTAAATCCAACAAGAATTTCTAATTATCATGATAAGACTCGATTTTTTATAACTAGAGCGTTTAATAGATTTTACTATAAGGATTTGATTAATATTTTCTGGTTGGATCTATAAAATTTCTTGTTACATTAATTTGCTTGCCACTCTTAACTTAACTCGTATTCAATATTTGCCATGAAATGTATATAAGGAACTAGTATTAACATTAAATCCAAAATATATATTTTTTTTTGTTACGAGCAGTAGTGCTAGAAAGAAGACGCTAGCTCTCTGATTGTGTGCGTTTGAGCTGCATCCTCTTCTTGCATCACTGTTTATCAGTTTAATTTCTAACAAACTGAACTAAAATAATTTATTCAATAATTTGGATTGAATTTATCCAATAATCGTGTTGGAATTCAGAATATTAAACAGACTTTTGAGATTAGATGGAAAAAATTTTAGACTTGATACTGGTGAGTTTAGTATTATTAAGCAGAAAATTTGGTAAATTTAACAGGAAGAAATTAATCAGATTCTGGTAATTCCTACAAGAATTCTGGTTCGTCCACTTTCCAACAGACATATTGGTTGAATCTATCAAAATTCTAATTAATGCAACCAAATTTTTTTCTCAGTGAATGAATTCGAAAGAGAGAATCGTACTTGTTGGGCGAGCAAGGGTCCAGCTTCTCCTCGCAATTCCTGCCGGTGTGAGGCAGTTCGCAGACGCATTTGTAATCGTCGACGAGATCGATGCAGGATCCACCGTTTTGACAGGGGTTGTTGGCGCAGTCGTCGATGTTCGTCTCGCAATTGGTCCCGGCGTAACCAGGTAGGCACTTGCAGCTGTAGCCATTGAGATGGTCGTTGCACGTGCCACCGTGTTGGCAGGGATTCGAGCCGCACTCGTCGATATCCATCTCGCACCTCTTGCCACCGTAACCGGGTAGACAGTGGCAGATAAACTGGTTCACCCCGTCCTCGCAAGTGCCGCCGTTCAAGCAGGGCGAGCTCGAGCACTCGTCCACGTCGCTCAGACACCTGGCGTCGTAGTAGCCGCGCGGACATTCGCATCTGAAGCTGTTTGTCAAGTCGATGCAGAGGCCGCCGTTCGCGCATGGGTTGCTCGCGCACTCGTTTATGTCGGTCTCGCAGTGCTGGCCGGTGTAGCCGGGCTCGCATTCGCAGGAGTATCTGAAAAATGAATCGTTAGAGTTAAAAAAATGAAAGGAGGCATAAGTATTGAATATTAATACGAGGATTTTGCCATATTGAGCTTGTATTTCATCCTAGTCAGTCTCCTAGTCATCCTAGTCATCCTCTGTAGACGATATATTAGTCTTAATTAACTACTTTCTACAGTAATGACTTGAGAGATAATTTCTCACAAATCAAAGAATTATTTTTAAATATTGTTGTACTTAGAAAAAATATTTTTTCAAATTTATATCAAATTCTAGGCACAAGTCTAGAAGAAAAAATATATATGTGTCTTTTTATAGCGTTATTATCTCTGCAGAAATCACATTAATCGCACAATGTCAAGGTAGAAAATATAGAAAGAGACGTAAAAAGCCTCAAGAATTAAATAAATAAATAAATAAGAATTAAATAAATAAATAAGAATTAAAAATAAAATAAATAAATATAATTAAAATTGGCAGGAAACAATTCGGATGCTGCGAATTGACATGTCAAATGTAGCAGCTTCTGAAGAGTCTCTCGATGATCTTTCTTCGAGCCCACCTGTTGATACCGTCGATGCATCTGGCCCCGTTTCGGCACGGATTGCTATAGCACTCGTTGACGTTGACCTCGCAATTGATGCCGGACGTTCCCGGTCGGCAGATGCACTGGTAGCCGTTGATGCGGTCCTCGCATTTACCGCCGAACTGGCAAGGATTGCTCTCGCACTCGTCGATCTGCGTCTGACACAGTTTGCCGGTGAAACCCGGGTAGCAGTTGCAGACGAAGCTGTTCTCGCCGTCGATGCAGGTACCGCTGTGACACGGATTCGACGCGCAGTCGTTGATATTGGTCTCGCAGGAGGCGCCGGTGAACCCGGGCGGACACTCGCACGTATACCTGGCTATACCGTCCTGGCAGGTACCGCCGTTCTTGCACGGCGACGAGGCGCAGTCGTCGATGTTGATCTGGCAGTGGGAGCCGGCGAAGCCGTCGGCGCAGCTGCACTTGAAGGAGTTGATGAGATCGCTGCAGATGCCGTTGTTCAGGCACGGCCTCGCCGCGCATTCGTCTATATCGATCTCGCATTGGGTGCCGGTGAAGCCTTGAAATAGAAAAGTAATATATAAGATATACATATATATATATATATATATATATATATATATATATAAAATTATATAAAATAAATATAAAATTATATAAAATCAATAATATAAAATTATATAAAATCAATAATATAAAATTATATAAAATAATAATATAAAATTACATAAAATAATAATATAAAATTATATAAAATTATATAAAATAAATATAAAATTATATAAAAAACAAATAATGTCATATATAAGCCCTATAAATATGTAAGATAAATTTTCTTTGGAAAAAATTAAAATATATCTTTCGTTAAAAATTATGCTTTCGCATACATAATTAAATATAATTCATATTAATTCATATTAAATTCAAATTAATAAATATAATTCATATTATTTATATAATTTATATAATATAACGAATAGTGCAAATTCTTCTCACACATATAAATATATCTCAAGGTAAAAATTTATCGTCAAGATCAGATATTCAAGCAAAAATGTTTTTCGTTTTCTCGAGCGAGCGGGTAGGATGAATGAAGTCGTCACTGCCTTAAGCGGTGTAATTAGCATTAATTAGTCAGCAATATGATGGACGGGAACAAAGTACATAAGAGATGTTGCTCGGGGAAATATGGTTGATTGCACATTTGATCGATCGATCGAATGCTTCTTTTTTTCTCGGCTAGTGTTCTTGCCGCGAAAGCGACTCCAAAAATAATTCTTGACGAGCAATAATCGCATTAATTATAGAGAGTAATTAAAGAACGGCAGATGGCGGATTGTTTCGAGGAACAAGATCGATCCAGGAAAAAGAACAAAATGCATCATAATCTTCTGCGAAAAAAAATCGGTTATTAAACGCGAACAACGATTTATCGCATAAGTATTGATTCCAAGTTGATTGTAAGGCATTTACAATTTAATTATTCTTAAATTAATATTCTAAGATTAATTGTGTGCGAAAGAAGATGTTTTCTAATATGTATAAATAATATATATATTATAATTATATGATATTATATTAAAAATATTAAGAGATTATAATAATTTTTATATATATTACATTAATAATTATTATATAGTATATTAATTATTAATATATTTTACATATAAAATAATGAATATAATTATTGATATACATGTATAAAAATTATTATAATCATAAACTACGATTATGACAACTTAATAAATTTGAATAAATATTTATTACATATATGCACATATGTAAAAATAAATAGTTGTCATTTTTACCGATTACATGCATTATTAGGTTCATTATTGGACGATGTTTCAGTGTCACGTTTATTAAAATTACCGGGACTGACTTTACATTTATTTCTCGACTATAAAAACGGCGAATCCACGTGATTTATCGCGCTTCCGCATGATGATATTTCTGGCGATTCCTGCACCAGGTGGTCTTAATGGCTAGATTTCTTCGTTTTTTGCCAACATCGCGATATATAATACGTGTTCATTCATATACAAATTGAGCCAGGGCGAGTCGTGTTGCGGCTCAATGTTGCATCGTGTAACTGCAAAGAGTCGCAAGGCGAGGAGAAAACAAGGAGGGAAAGAAAAACGAACAAGAACGAACGGAATGTAGCACGCACGCGACGCATCTTTCACTGCAGGTGGTCTAATTACGTTGCATTGAGGGATAATCCCGAAGAATCGAGGCAGCTGCGAAATAATTGTGTATACTTTTGTGTGTTAGAAATGTCACTTCTTCTCTAAATCCCGACAGCAAGCTAGAAACTTGCTGACAAGACATCAATGTGAGCAAACTTCATCGCGATAATCGCATCATTTTTTTTTTTGAGAAAAACAATTGTTATATTAATTAAAATTAAAAGATATCATTTACGTCGAAAAAAGAATTATTAAATAAAGAAAATCTTGTCATTATCGTTTCACGTGGTTTGACAACAGACATTGTAAACATTGATCAGCTGATCGGTCTTTCTATCGATTTAACGTCAAGATAATATTATCGAGTTTTCGAGTTCGAGTTATTAAACGATTATATTAATGGAATAGGCTTGATCTCGCAATTAAGTTTAAGTTAAAAGCTAAATTGATGATTTTTTGATGACTTTATCTTTTATAATTCCGTTCGTTCCGTTTATATAAAATGGCCAAAAGCTCGAGCAAGAACAACAATTTTTAACGTCAAACGAATCGATCGAGAAGCAGTTTTCGACGCGTTCGATATCGAAGAATGATTCTGCAAAGCAGAAGAGCGCATAAGAGATGCCTTGAGGAACATTCCTCGTCAACCGGATGACGCGCGGATTTTTATCATATTTACATTCAGTCGACACTTTTTTTCTTTTTCCTTTCGTCTGTCTGCGCGGACAATGATGCAGCTAATTCACTTGTGAATGCACGTACACAGAGCGGCCGATCTCCCTCACTCGAATCTTAAAGTCTTTCTTCTCGTTATGAATCATGCGTGGCAACGTATCGTCACTCGAATGTTGATCGCATCTTGCGCGCACAAGAGGATTAGGCATTTTAATAAATTTTGTAAAGAGAGGCTCTCTCTCTTATATATTTAATAAATAGCTTTTTCATCAATATATTAATTTTTTAATTTTATTTTTTTGAATTTATTAATTTTTTAATAAAATAATTTAAAAGAAATTTAAAGGAAATATTTAAAAGAATATTTAATTAAAAATAATTAAAAAGAATTATTTAAAAGAAATAATAATGCACGGTTTCTTTGCCTTCAGAAATTCCGAAAGTCTTTATTTTCTGCATAGTTTTCAATTGATTTAAAGATCTCTTTCAATTTTTTTCTTTTTTTTAAATTTGTTTTATTTTTTCATCATTTAAAAAAATTTAAAAAAAATCATTTCTAGCGGCCAGCTTTATTCAACATCAGGCAAAACCCTCATCTTAAGCATGCTTGTTTGATCGATGTTCAAGAGATCCTTCGCTCTCGTGCTATTTTCAATTTACATACGAATATGCCCGCAGGAATATTGGAATTATTAAACGCGTTTCAAGATACAAAAGATCAAGTTTGCCGTGGAAATATATTTCAATGCTTATTGTCTCTCAAGTGGATTTTCGATTAAACGATTTCCTTGATGAATCGCATTAATAATAGTCTCCTTTAAATAAAATGTAAGTTTTCCTCGAATATATTAAATTCTTTATTTTATAAACGCTTTAATGCAAGATTTAAATTCCAGATTGTATATCGTCTGGTATATTTTCTGTGCAGTTTTTTTTTTATATAAAAGTTTAATTTACATAATTATAATCAAGTAATATATGAAAGCGTTCCCTCAGTTGCAAAATTTCATCTGTTACCTCGCACAAGTAATAATAATAATAATAATATATAACACGCTATATTTTATCCTGAAAAAAATATGAAGGCGAACGAAAGGGGTTGTCAATACGAAATAAACGGATACGCAAGCTGGTAACGAAAAACCATAATTAATCTCAAATAAGCCGCTCAATTTTCTCGACGCGGTACTATTATTAACGATCTCCAAAGGAGACGCTTCGAAGACATTAATTTACCTAAGGATTGCCGCTCTAAGAGATACGAGATCCCCGGATCCTGCAAAGGGGAGAAGGGATTGGCTCTCGCGAGAGAAACGATCCCATTTTTTTTTTAATCCTTTCTGCATCCTTTATGCATCCTCGATGCTCGCCACGCGTGTCTGGACTTAGTTCGGGAGCTAGTATTATCCTTCATCGAGCGACGTATCCGCCGACTTCCACGCCTCTCTTCTAATGCCCGTAATGTTCGCTTGTCAATCCTATCCGTGGACTAAATGAATAGTTGTCGATTCATAAATATCGGGCGTTGCACGATCGATCCGCGATCATGTCGGACAGAAACCGCACGAGTCTTTTTGCGATACGATTGGATTACTATTTATTAAGTCGGCGTCTCTAGCAAGGATCCGCAAGAACCAACGCACCTGTTCCCAAACATCCCTTTACAATGGTCAAAAATTTTCACATAATGATTATATGAAAGTATCATTTAAAAATAAATTTTTCCTATTGACGTGAAATAATAAAAAAAATCTATCTTGCTCGATTATGTCGATTTATAAATATTTCCAGAGAATCATGTGCAGATGTAGATGAAGAAACCGAATTGCATCGATCCCGAAAGTCGATGCCTCGAATCGATTCGTTACAATAGACAACAATGTATCCAGAAGGATTTATTTCCGGGAGGAAACGTGCGCGATGGGGGAAGCGGGGCGAGATCACGTGTGCGTCGGAATGATGATGAAGATGATGAGACTCTCCTGCCGTTCTCCGCATCTCGAGACCCGTTCGGAGACTGCACAGTCCGTGCCATTGGCTGCAATTTCGACGATCCGCTCGGATCAATTCCGGGTTCGACTAAGCGTCTAGCGGTACCGGGATTGTGGAGCAACGCGAATTTATTCCGCCGATCGCCGACCGCCAGACATCGGTATCGAGGTCGATTTTCGGCGAGGGTGGGACGCGGGTTTTTCTCGAAGGGAAATAATCGAATTATTAAATCGATTTTGGCCGCCTGTTCATTTAAGAGATTCTCTCTCTCTCCAGCTACTCGCAGATTTTACCGCGCGAGATCGATCGATCGATCGATCGATCGATCGACGAATAAAGCGCGAGCAGATAAAGTAGAATAATACAACGTGATTACGAGGAACGGTATCGCACGAAGACAAGGAAGTTCGCATCGCAACGTAATTCTGATCGAGAGGCGAAACTCTGCGGGGATAATAAAGAAGCGGCATCGTCCGTTTCGTTTGATCTCCGCGTGGGATACACAGTGACTCTCGGCGAAAGAGAGAGAGAAAGAGCCTTTGTATGTATCTTGCCACATTGTTTGTTGGAGCGCGTTAGGGAGAGTATAATCGATCCGATCGATCTGTAATAAGCAATTTATACACGTACATTTAAGCGTATCATGAGTGCCGACACATCCGATCATTTTTATTGCGAGCGATTAAAAGGTTCTTGATATCTT